AGTTATCTAATCCAAGTTACAACTGTTGCTACTATATTTCTTTAATAAAAAGAAAAAAAAACATAATGTAGTGATTGTCTAATATGATATCAAAACTCTAATTTCATGACGTCCTTGACCATAGTGATTATCAAGCTAACCAACGAGGTGAGGCGGCTCTAATACTGTCTACATCTGTAAACTAGCTTGATATACACAGCATTTGTCAATTGAGGCTCAAATGATCAATTTCCCAATTTTGTTGATATGAAATGTGTAGGAATCTTTAACATGTAAATCCTCTTGATCAAGTAATCAACATGTTAACTACTAATCCCAATCTTACATTCAACTTAATTTCATTATCAAGGGTGAATTCTAAAGAGAGTAGCCAGACCAGAACCAAAGACTTGCGACAGGCTTATCTATAGAGGCCCCACCTGACTGTATTGTCCACTGTGTATATACAGTACTTGTATCAGACCCCCCCCAAAAAGAACAGTGATTTGTATTAGAAATGGGTGAGAAGGAAAGAGGAAATGCCTGATTGCCGTGCAGTGATCAGTTCTCACAAACAAAGTACATCCAACACATAAATACTGACTACATCTTGTGGGCTTGCTGCAAAGCTAACCAGCATTGCCACCCACTTCACCTCTTAATGCGGAGAGGGGGAGGGAGAGAGAGAGAGAGTCAATGCTTATGCTTTTATGTTGTGGGGTCTTTCTTTTTATCACTTACCGGATATTAGGTTGAGAAGAGGTGTGGAATTTACCTTTGCCATAATGTATATAGGCAAAAAGGAATAGACATAATAAAAGGGGTTGAGGTTTAATTGGAGATCACAAATAAATTAATGAAGTGTCCTAAACGCAGTTCACAAATTTGATGATCTTAAGTAGATAATTGATCTCATGACTAGCTTGCCTATGTGGTCACGGTTCGGAAAAATTAAACCTAAAATTCTTTAACAATAACCCAAATCTCACTTTCAAATTTGACAGAAAGAGATCTATAAATCAATAGCAAGCTATAAAGGCCTTGAATTAGTAGTGGACAATGCTAACCTCTTACAACCAATGACTGAGAATCCGGCATTTGACAATTAAATTCTAACTGTCTAATTAATAATCAAAAAATTATTAGGTGTATTAGATACCATACATAATATGTCGATATGGTGCACACATAAAATAAAGAACCGTAACTTCACCAAAATCCTATTATTAACTCAATGGGTATGGGTTTGAACCTACCTATTGAATTCAATCATATCCAAACATAAAAACAAAGAAAATCGCTCTCCCCTTTTCCTTTATTTGGTTGGGACGTTCTCCTTTTGCTTAAAGCAAAGTCACTTCCATTTGCATAAAAGGATGACAATACTTGTACAAATGATTGATTCACAACACATGCATGCACAACAGCTTGTAAATTTGTCACATCAGTTTTAAGTATATTTCACCAGAAGAAACATATATATATATATATATATTTGTGGGGTAGAATTATAAACTAGTCTCTTTTTTATATGGGCTAAATCTGGTTTCTCCCCAATCTTTTTTGACAAAAACTACAAATAAAATAAAATAAAACCATCTTAAATAATATACCTAGCTATTACCCATTAGTGTTCATATAGTTAATTTTCTACAGCACCATTAAATTATTTCAGACTTTCAGTGTACTCTGTGGACCATATATGAGAAAGAAAACAAACAAAAAGCAAGCTTTTATTATCTCGCAACAAATTATACTCCACTCTCTCTCTCTCTCTTTCTCTCTCTTTCTCTCTCTCTCTCTATCTCTCTCTCTCTCTCTCTCTCTCTCTCTCTCTCTCTCTCTCTCTCTCTAAGCTTGTAAGCTTGTATTAATTATCTTTCTCTACCTTACCAAACTGAAAAGTTTCAAAGCCCCTAGATTATTGGTACCTTTATGACAATTTAAAATTCTTTGGAAATCAGAAAGAAAGCAGGAGGTCCTTTAGGAAAACCAACATTTGAGCACAATTTCAGCACATGCATAGAGAACAGTGGGGGGGGGGGGGTGGGGGGGGGGGGGGGGGGGGGGGGGAACAGATGTGCATGTGGGATTGCAATAATTAATATTTCAATTGTTTAATACTATACATGAGAATTTCAAAACCATGCAGCTAAGTAAAATGACATATGGATAGGGTTTTGAGAAAGCCAAAAATATAAATAAAAAAAATTATATTTAAAAATGAACAGAACAAAATCTAACGTTTAGCAAAAAGAGCCTGTCTGCAGTGTGTTTGACCAGAGATCCCATGCTATCCTTTAAATCTTTTATGTTTCCAAGACAGCACGAGTGTGTGTGTGTGTGTTGCATTGTAATTGTAAGACATATATAAGTCTACTTTGAGTTTCCATGTCCATGTTTTGTTTTGTGACTTCCAAACATTTCTGTCCTGCAATCGCAAATCCCTATAAACATAAAGATCGATGGACTATTTGCAGCTTGACCCAAAAAAGAAAAAGAAAAAAAAGGACTATTTGCAGATGTTAATGTTAATTTAATTCAATTCAATTCTCATCAATTCGTTTTGAGGGTTACAAGTTTAAGAAAAATAGTAGTTTCAAAAAAGATTATGACAAGGTTTGCGACATGCATGTGACCGTGGGATAAAACTCAGTTGAATTCTGCTGCAGGCCAGTCAAATTCACAACGGAGACCGGCCCAGTCAAATTCTGCTGCAGCCCAAACGACTCATTTGTGTTCATTTGTTCTGTTTAAAACTACAAGCCTCCACTATTGCCTATCAGCCATGGCAGTGCCATCTATCTAGACTTAATTACCAAGCCAGCTATTGGCCTAAATAGTGGGGGAGCCATGCAGGCATGAGGTGGGCATGGCTCTTTATGGCGAGGTTAAGGTTATGAATAGTTTAGTGGGGTCAAAATTTTACCTAACTAAAGTATTCACAATCCTAGCCAATCCGAAACATATTTTCTTCGCTTCACTCCTATGTCAAACCATGCTCACTGGCCCCCCTAATTTGTTAGGGTTTGACATGAAACATAATTGTAACGACACAAACACTGTTAGAACATCTCCAACCCAAGGGGTGGAAACTCAAATTTTGAGTTTAGTCTCCAAAAAACTTCTCTAACCCATGTATTTTGAGAGGTGAAAATTTGAGATGACTCAAAATTGGACTGGAATTCCAGTCAGAATTCTGCTTGGACTGATAAACTCATGGGGCCAAAATCTGCTTTAATATATAATTTTTAATTGGATGCAAGGAGCAGCCCATGTGCTTGGCTATGTCGCTGGCTCACTTTGACAAGTGGGAATGAAGATTCCCTTTCTGTTTTTGAGAAGCAACGGCTACTTTTTCAAATGTTTTGTTATGCTGTTTTTTTAAATAAATAAAAAATATTCCAACAGCTATAAAATCAACAATTCTGATTCATTTTAGGCAATCTCAACGGTAAAATTTCACATCCAACGGCTCAAATTTAAATCAAACGGTCAAATTAATATTTATAATTAATCTAAGTCAGATCCAACCCCAAAACTTATTCCAAACTATATAAATAGCCATTCATTTGGTAAATAATCCACCAAAAATCTTTTTTTTTTTTCCTTTCTCCCTTTGTTATAATTTTTCATTTTACATTCATTCTTGTTGAGAATGACCCCAAAACCCCAAAGATGTGTGAATTGGAAACCACAAGAAGATGAGGCATTGTGTAGAGGGTGAGTTTTTGTCTCTGAAGATAGGGTTATTGGCACGAATCAATCAAATGATTCATTTTGGTAGCGTGTGTACCAAAAAATTTTGGAAAATGATCCGGGCATGAGCGGAGCCGGGGTACGATCACTGCAAGCTATTGCTTCTCGGTTCAAGATCATCAACCAACAATATTCTCTTTGGAATGCATGTATAACAAAGGCCAATGCAAGGCATGTGAGTGGCTCCAATCTTAAAGATGTGGTGAGCACCCATTTTTTTCAATGCTTAAATTTATAATTTTAATTGTTTTCAATTATTAACTTGATTTTTATTTTATTTCATGGGTAGGATATAAATGCAAAAACAATTTTCTTGAATGATAATAAACCTCCAAATAGGCCTTTCAAGTTTTATCATGCTTGGCAAATCTTAAAAGATTGCCCAAAATGGAATGACCTATCTGAATCTCCCACATAATCATTCAAAGATTCTTCTCATAGTGGCAATATAGTCAATTTGGAGGAAGATGAAGATGATGTGGTCATGCCCACTCCAAGGCCATTGGGAAGAGATAAACAGAAGGATGAAAAAAATAAAGGGAAAGGTGTAGAAAGTTATCTCAACCAAAGTGGTAAGTTCTTGTTTGAATTGGTTCAACAAGGAAATTAGACAAAAGAGGATAGGCGGCGAAAGTTAGAGCTTCTACAAGAGCAACATTCATATCAAATCCAACAAGATAAGTAGGCCAATGAACAAAGGATAATGTCCATGGACCTATCCAAATTTACTCCAAGAAAGAAGAAGTATTTGGGGAATAAGCAAGACGAAATTATTGAGGCCCAGATGAATACAAGTTTCCCTACAATTCAGAAGACAACTCTTGAGACCATTATACAAGCCCTCTGCATAGTGGTTATTAATTTACGTTTATTTGTAATTGTTGTTTATCTTTATTTATAATTGTCGTTTATCTTTATTTCTAATTGTTGTTTAGCTTTATTTTTAATTATCGTTTATCTTTATTCGTAATTGTTGTTTATCTTTATTTATAATTATCATTTATCTTTTTTTTATGATTGTCATTTATTTTTCTATGATTAGTTTTTTAAAAAGTTCAATGATAAACCATATAATTCATTAAAATCACACAACCACTTTTATAATTTAAACACACTTTCATAATTTAAACACACAACATAATTTAAACACGCTTAGATAATTTAAACACACTTACATAATTTAAACACACAACATAATTTAAACACATTTACATAATTTAAACACACAACATAATTTAAACACACTTACATAATTTAAACACTCATTGCACCTCTCCTTCGCATCTCCAAATGTGGTTGATCAAATCATTTCTTAGATTGTGATGCACTTGTGAAGTACGAACTCTATTATGACGAACCATGTAGTCTGAGATAGTTTGTCTGTCTCGGTTTATATCGTACGTGATAGTTGGCTCAAGCTCATAAGCAAGTCTTGCTCTTGCTCTTCTAGATGTTCGTGGACAATTGTCTTCATCATCAGATTCTGCATCTAGATCCTCATCCTCATCCTCATCCTCAACAATCATGTTGTGCAATATTATGCACGTCATCATGATTGAATGAAGTTGTTCTTTGCGCCACATGCGTGCAGGTCCCCTAACAATTGCCCATTGAACCTGAAGTATTTCAAAGGCTCTTTCGACATCCTTCCTATAAGCCTCTTGTTTTTGGGCAAATATTCTTTTTTTTGGAGTATCCGATTGGGAAATCGTCTTAACCAATGTAGCCCAACGAGAGTAGATACCATCAGCCAAGTAATAACCCAGATTATATTAATTTTCATTGACAACATATTGGATATGGGGAGACACTCCATTCACTACATCATTGAACAACGGGGAACGAGCTAGAACGTTGATATCGTTGTTCGATTCAGCAACGCCAAAAAAGGCATGCCATATCCAAGTGTCATACGAGGCCACTGCTTCTAGAACGACAGTTGGCTTATGCTTGTAGCAGGTAAACTGGCCTGCCCAAGCAATGGGGCAGTTCTTCCATTCCCAATACTTGCAGTCAAGACTACCTAACATGCCTGGGAATCTTCTGCGACTAGCCTTGTGCAAGAACCTGTAAAGGTCGGCCGGATTTGGGGAACGGAGGTACCACTGACCATACACAGCTTCAATAACAAAACAAAACTTTCACAAACATTCAAGGGCTGTAGATTCACCCAATCTCCAGTACTCGTCGATGGAGTTTTCCGAGTATCCATATGCGAGCATTCGAAAAATGGTTGTTAGCTTCTGCTCTGGGGATAGACTTTGTCATCCACAAGCGTCTATCTTCTGGGTAAAGTATGGCTCATGTGCAACAACATCATTCAAGATGCGATAGAAAAGCTCTCTTCTCATGCGGAACCGCCTGCGAAAGTCCACTAGGGGATAAAGTGGTCTTTCACAAAAGTAGTCCTCCATGAGACTCTTATGATGTTTCTCTCTATTCCGATTCTTGTATTCACGGCCTGCAACATAACCACCATGTTTGGATTGTTGAGCATATTGCTCCAACAAAAACGTATGGTGTTGAACAACCATTGCAACCCTCTGTTGATGAAGGTCATCATCATCAGAATCATCATTAATAAAATTTTGTATAGCCTTCCCAAGTGAATTCATTGTAAGAAGGAGAATTGAAGGAGATTGTGTGGTCAATTCAGTAGAATAACACTTCTTAAATGGACAAGAGAATGAGATGACCTACATGTTTGAAAATAATTGAATGAAGATAAGAAAAGATAGGGAAAGATAAGGGAATCCAATAAAGTGAGATGAACAAAGATGAGCAATGGTTCAGAACGTGATTGAAACAAGACAAGATAGGAAATGGTTCAGAAAATAATTGAATGAAGATAGGAAAAGATAGGAAAAGATAAGGGAATCCAATAAAGTGAGATGGACAAAGTTGAGCAATAGTTCAGAACATGATTAAAACAAGACAATAGCGGATGAGAAAGAGTTCAGAAAATAATTGAAGAACACAAGTGGAGGTGGGCAAAAGTTCAAAACATTATTGAATGAGGATAAAGGAATCCAATGAAGTAAAAGTAAAATTAAAATGGAAGAAAATTATGGCAATGGCTTCAATGAAGGGTTCGAATTATTCCCGGCATACGTATGGTGTTGTACTTGTTTTTATTTTTAAGTGAAATTCTATTATGTTTTGGAATTTTAATTTTTTTAGGTTAAAATGTTTAGAAAATTAAATCACAAGTATTGAAACAAAAATAATGTCAATAAAAATTAACAAGAAAAAAAATTAGGGGTAATTCATTATTAAACAATTTAATAAAGTTGCGAACTCAAATTATGAGTCTGCAAGGTTGGAGGAAAAAAAAATTTGAGTCCTGAAAATACATGAATAGTTGTATTTTAGATGATGGAAATTTGAGTTTAGCCTCAACATGGTTGGAGATGGTCTTATAGACGATTTGAAACTCACACAAAATTATGCGGGTTGACCTGCATGATTAAAAGCTCGAATCATATTCAAGTCAACTCGCGAAGACAAGATTAATAAATATACGGGTTTTGAATCAACTCGCCAACACAAAATGAACAACCTCGAAACTAACTAGCTTGAAGTTTCCATGTCGAGTCAAATTCATGTAACTCAATTAGTTATATTAATTTAAATTTTTGTAGGGCTAAAATTATAAACATAAATTGCTTTTTGTAGAATATTCTCAATATTATCATGATTTTCTTATTATATATGAGTGGAGGAATTGATATATTTGATAAACGAGTCAAGCTCTGAATCTTTTAATACCTCAACACGACCCAGTCCCACCAACAGTGGAACCTACTAGCGCATACGCATTTTGTAGCATTTGTCCCCGGTGAGCATTTTGTTCCTCACCATGACTCTCACCAAATCCATTGCAAGCAGTAACCTCCAGTCCCTGCTCAGTCATGTGAAAGTTGCTTAACATGAAAGAAGCAAAGTTGATCCAGTATTTTTAACCAAGTGTTCGAAGTAACTCCTTTAATTCCTCCATTGGGAAAAACTGGACGCAATCTTGTGCTCCATCAACATTTATTATAGGGCATGATTCACAAAGTGACAAAGACATCATTTATGAAGTTAATGATTGAACCCCACTATTCACATAAAGATATGACATCATACATCATCAAATACCTTCCTTCAATATTCCAGCCCTCTCTCTCCATCTCTTTCTCGAGCCTAAACTCATTACTGGTACTCCTACTTCTGCAGGGTTATGTAGCCATCACAGATTCATCTTTCACAGGGGCTGATCAGTTTTCTGGCCTATAAATACACACTGGCTGAGCTATCATTATAATTAATGGGCCCATTTCATTTTTTTCTTAACAACTTGAAGGTCCACTCATTATGGCCTGCACAAGAAATTGTACAAATTATGATCAAGGAGAGAGGCACTTGGAGCATTGGGGTAAAATTTGACCCCCACCGCCCGTCTTCTCTGTCTCTTCAATCCAATCCAACAACAAAAGTTATGTGTGGCTGTGAATGAATGATGAGGTTGATTATTATTTTGGGGACTTGAGACCCCTCCATACGGACTCCAATTGATTTTGCTTTGTTTCCTTCCAGAGCCCTGCCAAGCACCTCATTGATTCACATTGACAGGTTAAGCTTCAATGTAGCATGGCATATCTTACAGCAATCAGAAAAAACAAGAAAAAAAAAGTATATGCGTCGCATTGCATTTTGAATTAATAGTCATTGAATAAAGATGGAGATTTTACCAAATGTCCTCTCACTGTGATTGTGAGGATTTTAATGGATATCCTCCCCCCCGCGTCCCCCTTTTTTCAAAATTTCTATCTCTTTTTTATGGAAATTTGAACTTATTGGAATCCTAGTATTTCATGGTTGGCAAGTTGGCAACCATCTGTTTGTTTCATTTGCACAAGTTCCAACCCTAGCAAAATACGTATTGGTTTTCAGTCACTTGAGTCTTACGAGTTACATATATTTCTCCCTTTCTTTCCTTCATGCCATTGCCGTTGCCGGTAACTAGAACTACTTTCCACAAGTTGGTAAACCAAGCTCAAAACAGAACAAGTTAACGACATGTTTATTTGAAATGAGAGAAGTCATGAATTTCAAAATGGAAAATTAAGAGAGACGAGGACTGGATATGAGATCAATAATTGTAGATTACAAATGTGTAACCAACATAATTTTTTATTCATTAAACACCAGAAGTTTGTTCTAATTCCTGTGTACGGAAATTAGAAATCAAAATAAATATAATAATCATTCCATGTAAATAACCATGTCACAAGAGTTCAATAAACACCCACAATTGGCATGTTATATGCCTATTGGGTTCTCCAGTTATCTGCATTACACTTGTTCCCATTTGATTTGTAAGCATCTCCCATCAAACATAAAATCTGAAATTTAATAACTTATGTGGCAATTTGACATATAATAAAGTTTTACATTCTACATGATATGTTAAATTAAAATATTATTTTATTATTTATTAGTTTACCATAATCTAGGCACATTAATTAAATAATAATAATAATAATAAAATAATAAAAATAGTCTTTTTTTTCAATCAAAAAAATAATAAAATAGTCAAACAACCAAAAATAACAGCAAAACAGAGAAATGTTATTCCACGTTGGATTTAACTTTTCAATTGGATCAAGTCTCAGCTATTTTTTCTGAACCTAAAAGTGCCACGTTGGATTTTGCTCTAAGTCTCAAAAGAAACCCAACACAAGGAAAGCCCATGATGATTTCATTTCTCTGACTGAGGCCCAGAAGATGCCCACTCAGGTCTGTGCTTTCTGCTTTCCATGGAGCTCTCTCCCCTCCAAAACCCCCCTCAAAACCCTAATTCCCAATTACACTATTGCCCATCAATTTCCCACCATTACCAACCTAAATTTAACGTCTTTTTCTGTTTAATTTAATGAATAGGTAAATCATCCTCAACCTCAACCCAATTCTTTCTTTTTTTTTTTTTTTTTTTTTTTTTTTTTTTTTTTTTTAAATTGGATGAGAGTTGAATTCCAATTAGGCCCATTGTTGGTTGGATTATTTTATGTCTTTTTTTTTAGTGTGTGTTAATATTTGATAATAGGAGGAGGATTAAGATGAGCCAGCAACCATCGGTGATCCTAGCAACGGCTAGCTATGACCACACTATTCGGTTTTGGGAGGCCAAAAGTGGCCGCTGCTATCGTACCATCCAATACCCTGATTCAGTATGTTTCTCACTTCCCACTTTTCAATTTTTAAAGAAAGAAATTATCTTTGTGTGTGTGTCGTTGTAAATTTTGGATTTTGGAGTTTATTGAGATGTTGGTTTTGTTTTCAAATGATAGAATCCAACTGAGGTAAGCCAATTAGTTGGCATTGAGAAGATTTGAGATTGGTGAAGTGGAATGGTTCATTTGTTAGGAGGTCATTGAGTTTCTTTTAGTTCATAGTTGCTTGATTATGTTTTCTGAAAAGATTGGAAAACTTCCTGGTGGGTTTACTTATTGTTTATTTGATTCATTTGTGCTGGATCTGATTTTTCCATTTTTCATGAGCACAGCAAGTTAATAGGCTCGAGATTACTCCAGATAAACGCTTCCTGGCTGCAGCCGGCAATCCTCACATTCGATTATTTGATGTTAATTCAAACAGCCCTCAACCGGTTTGTCTTTCTCACTCTTAGGTTTGCTTTAGTTTTTGTCAAATTTAGATGGGGACTTTCATGATCATTTGTTCTTCTTCCATCAACTCATGAGCATCCTTTTGGTATAATTGTTTGGCAGGTGATGAGCTATGATTCACATACTAATAATGTAATGGCAGTGGGATTTCAATGTGATGGAAACTGGATGTATTCAGGTTCTGAGGATGGTACAGTAAAAATTTGGGATTTGAGGTAATTGTTGCCAACACACGTATGCTGTGATGTAGGATATGGGTGAACTGAGAATTTAGGTAGTTTAGCGGAAGCGAAAACAATGGAAAACAGAAAATAGAATGAACAAGGATAGGTCTGGAATCACTCCAAGGGTTTGGCTTCACACCAAGTAGTCTCCAATCTCTGGAAAATAAACTTTTCTTTATTTCTCAACAACTCAACTCCATAATGAATTACATAGAAGGGGTATTTATAATAATCTAACCCTAGAGTGAAAAGGAAAATTAAACTTATTCTAGGAAAGAAATCCTAATCCAAATAAAATAGGAAACTTAGAAATCCTACTGAAATCTGGAAAAACTAAAAATCTTAATGAAATCTGGAAAACTTAGAGAACCTAGGAACTAACAAATAAATTAGGAAACTAATTAATAATTCTCTCTTCCATCTCTTTCGTTCGTAAACCCTAATGGGTTTGACAAAGATGTCCTCTCATGCTGGTTGTGCTATCTATTTTTCTTTTATTAAGTCTTGTTCGTATTTTGTATATAGTTTGTTTTTCTTATATGTTGAGTTAATCACAGAGCTCCAGGTTGTCAACGGGAATATGAAAGCCGTGCAGCTGTTAACACTGTTGTGCTGCACCCAAATCAGGTAAACTTTTGCCTCGTCCCTTTCTGCTATGGAATATATATGTTAGGTAAAAATGTTATTAGGTTGTAGTGTCTTCATAACTGTTCAAGTTATTAAGAAGGATAGAGATAACATTGACTTTCATGATAATGTAATTGTATGTGTTTTTTTTTCTTGAAAAGATATGATAATCTTCGTAGACGATTTTGGTTTTGTGTCTGGTAAGCTTAGAGAGTGTCAAATGGCTTTCCCAAAAGAGAGTAGGGAGGAAAAAAAACAAGAAGGAAAGCATCATGCTGGCATATGTGAGCTCCTACTTACATTAGACTGTTCAAGTATGATGTTGATGGAAGTTGGAACATGCATGCAGTTTTCCATACAGCCCATTGTCATATCTGGGTAACTATCTTATGAGAGTGAACTTTTCCATAATCACCGTACATTGACCATGTACAGAGTTTTGGCTCATCAAATTGCTTATATAGAGATAGTGTTTGCTAAAAGGTCTTAAGTTGATGTAGTGAGCCAGTGGCCGTCTGTATTCTGTTGCAATGATGTTTCCATGGGTTTTGTTCAAGTCCAATTTTTAAGTCATAGTTGTTGTTTCATGTTCATTCTTGTCTCTTAATTGTCAATTTTATGCCCTTGAGAAAAATGAAAGAAGAAGGAAGAGCTTGCATGCCGTAATGGTTTCAATTGTTTTTCTAATCTTTAAATCTGTTTGTGGTTTTACAGACTGAACTGATATCTGGGGACCAAAATGGTAATATTCGTGTTTGGGATTTGACAGCAAATTCATGCAGCTGCGAACTGGTATGCTTCGCTGTCTTGCACTTATGTACTTCGTATACACCTTTTGTTACTGCTATGATCAAAATTGCAAATCTAAGGTGGTGATTTGAGGGGAGGGTTCGTCCCCGTTTTCATCTTACACTAATTTCAAAGGTCTCATTAGGAACCGTGTTGTCTAAACAATAATCTTTTTTAAAAGCCTTGGTATTTTTTTAGGTGAAATGAAGATCTAAGTGGGCAAAGTCTTTACTAGACTCGTGCGTATATGTTGCGCTGTGTTTAACAATAAAAACCTATCTTAAATAGAAAATAAATTTGAAAAACAAAAACACTGTGGTGTTCAATATGCAGGAATAGATGGTAGATGGGAAGGGGATTTTTGGATGGTATTACTGAGGATAAGAATGTGAAGTCGTTAACAGTGATGTGTAAATTTAACGGTTCTTTTGGATGGTAATTTACAGAATGGTACATTTAATATCAATCTATGGGGTGAATCTAGGTTCCAGAGGTGGATACGGCTGTAAGGTCATTAACAGTGATGTGGGATGGGAGCCTGGTTGTTGCAGCAAATAATCATGGTACATGCTATGTTTGGCGCTTGTTGCGGGGAACCCAGGTAGTACCTTTATGCACTCGATTATCTGATTTCACCTTCTTATCATACTTCATTCATTTTGAAGCCAAGTACTTTTTCTTCCAGACTATGACAAATTTTGAGCCACTTCATAAGCTGCAAGCACACAAGGGATACATCCTCAAATGTCTTCTTTCACCTGAATTCTGTGAACCCCACAGGTTTGATCCATTGAAGCCAATAACCTTTGTTTCCTTCTACCTTTCATTTAGGGTCAAATCTATGTTTTATTTCGCCTTCTCTTCCTAACTGGTATTCTCTCTAGGTCAATAAACTTTGCCTTTACTATAACTTTTTTTTTCGGTTCAAACAATATCTACTATTTTATTTTTGCCTTCTGTTGCTAGCAGCCAGTATATTGATGTTGTCACTTGTTGGCTTAACCTGTCTTTGTACTTCTAGATATCTGGCGACCGCCTCTTCTGACCACACTGTCAAGATATGGAATGTTGATGGTTTCACATTAGAGAAAACTCTAGTAGGTAATTATCTGCTATACCATTAGAGGTGCTCATTTTAGTTTACAAATTACTCAATACGCCTGATTGTTTCTTAAAACCAAGCTATATGATAAATTAATCTTTACTGTTTCTTTACTTCGTAGGACATCAGCGGTGGGTATGGGACTGTGTTTTCTCAGTAGATGGTGCCTATCTTATAACAGGTAATAGTTCTCAACAACTAACGATTTTAAATAACCCATGTCTTCTGAAGCAGCTTTTAGATAACGATGGACACTTCACAATTGAGAATTTTCACTAGGAGTTCTAAACCTTAATCTATAAAATGTCATTTTGTAAATTGGGATATGGCAGCACCCTATCCTTTTTCTGTTAAGTTCGTAAACTAATGCAGTAGTCAAACTTGTGCAATAAATTAACATTCAGATTCTTAGTTTTCTTCTCTCTAATTTTTCTATTGAACAATTTATCAATTATCCATGCAGCTTCCTCAGATACAACAGCAAGACTTTGGTCCATGTCCACTGGTGAAGATATCAGGGTGTATCAGGGGCATCACAAAGCAACCATTTGTTGTGCACTTCATGATGGAGCTGAACCTTCTTCATCCTGAACCAGAATCGCCCTTGGCTCATCTACATGCATGTCTGCCTCATGTGTGTATGTGTGTGCGTGTGTGCGCGCACACGCAATTACATTATTGTTTATAATGGAATTGTATAAAAATATGGGGGTGCTACATATCTTATTTCAGGTTCCCCATAGAGATATTTTCCACCTAATGTGCATTATGTGTATTACTTTTGTAACCAAAATAAAGTATACTACTTTCTTCATAATTCCTTGACACTTCGTTAAATCCACAAATTATATCGTGCCCTCTAACAGCAGCCATACTGAACAAGTGAGATCAGCTATGCCTACACTGTTTATTGTTTATTGTAACTTGTAAGCAATGTTTCTTATTGTAATCTCATCGAATGGTTTGTAATAACAGTACAGCTGTATAATCCAAAACTTGGCTTTCTTGGCTTTCATTCTGCTTCTACTAAGTGGTGGGGGAAAAATGATACAGCAGACATTTTTTGGATTTCTTCCCAATTCCCATTTTATCTCTGCATTTGGTGCTTCATCATTTACCACCCTTTTCTTTGAGGTGAAAAAAAAGGTTTTCCCTTAAAATAAGGTGAGTTTATGGGGGGTTTTGGCTTTAAGTGAATAAGAATGTAATTTCGACAAGAATATATATTTGTGTGTGAGCGCAGACACAATGTAGCATTTCTGATACCAGTCTAAAACCACAAGCACCACGGCACCTTTGTACCCGGTGGGCGCAGTCCAATTTTTATCTCAGATTAAAATCGGAAACGGTACTATTTAATTGGTTCGGTTTAGTTAGTTTTAATGAAAAAAAATTAAAAACCGGTTGGTCTGGTTCAATTTTTATATTTTAAACCATTATTTTAATTTATGGATTATTATTTATTATTATTATTTTATACAAATTCCAACTAAAATTTATGTTTGGCTTGAAAATTAACAAATTATCTAATTTCATAAAAAGAGAGACATTGGGCCCAGAAAATAGAGATGTTTAGAAGTTGGGCTTGGGAATAGTTATGAGATTAAAAAAAGTAGCATTTGATTTAAATAATTTTGTAAATTAAAAAAAAACACAACAGCTCCCGTTTGGCCGGTCTGATTTTTTCACTATAAGAATTGGAACCGAACCAAATTGGTATGGTTCGGTTTTTGGTCATCTCGGTCCAATTTTTGGTTTAACTTGGTTTTTCCTTCTTTTTTGGCCCAATTCGACTCGGTTTTCCCATTTTCTGGTTTGAATGTCCACCCCTACTTCATACATGAAGACAATTATTTAGCTAATACCTATAATCTTGCGCTGATAATTTCCTTTATATAATTACAGTTCTACCCTAGTTGGTTAGGGTTTATGGCCCTGCCCACTCTATGTCCAGAGGATTTGCGAATCCCTCCTCCTTATGTTAAAACTTTCCAAGATCCGCCTCATGAGATCCAAGTTAAGAGACAAATTGAACAAGTTTGGCCACCCCTATTAGGATGTACCTATTAACCCTAAAATGGGGTTACACACTAAAAAACACAATAGAGTAGTTTATGAATATCTCCGTGGTGGACTTGATTTTACCAAAGATGATGAGAATGATAATTCCCAACCATTTATGCAAAAGGCCATTCTTATTTTGTGTGGAAGCAATGGCAGAAATAGGAATGCTAAAAATTCACGTCAGGTCCTCAGCCCTAATGAGAGGAGATTTCGGAGGGGGTGGTGGAATGGGGGTGAGACGGGGATCCCCAATTTAAAAATGCCCCGATCGAAGACGAGCCAGGGATGGTATTGTTATCCCTATCCCGAACTCGACCCGATAAAATGAGTATTTATTTTTAATTATAAATGTATATAAAATAATATAATATAACAATTAAAAAGTTTTAATTAAATATATAGTTAAGTTATGTTTTTTTTTTTTTTTTTGTGGACACAAAATATAAGTTAAGTTAGATTATTCTATAAAGTAGCATTGCCGCTGTAATATAACAACTGTATGTACAGCCACATTTCCTTTTCTTGCGCAACTGTTTTTTGTTTTCCATTGAGTGAGGACATTCATCTTGATGATGAATTGTCGATGAAAACAATATGTTGTATTAGTTCCATTATCTTTAGAGATATTTAGTATATACCATTCTTAGCACTAATAATATAATAAACCCTACATATTTCATTTCTATAAAAAAACCCAAAAAATAACAGTTGGTCTATTGAATTTAATTTTGATTATTAAATTACTTTAATGCCCTATTGAGTGTTTTAGACTTTTTTATGAGATTTTGGGGTTGAGTTTGTTTTAAGAAATCAATGACAATTTTGTAATTTAAAGAAGTTAAAAACTTTTGTTATATTGTAAATGAATTTTGAGTGTGTTTCTAAAGTTCATTTCATATAGTTTTTTTTTTTTTTTTTTTAAAAAATAAATTATATAAAAAAAAGTTTTTTAATTTTTGGACTCCTATATTATAGAATATATATAGGAATTTAATGTGAAATTAAAGTGTAATATGGATATTTATATTTTTTTAAAATATAATCGGGGATTCGGGCGGTATGAGATATAATCCCCCAACATGAATGGGAATGAGAATTCCCCGAAATTTCATACCAGGAAAGGGGGCGGAAATAGGAATAGGAAATGGTATTGCCATACCTAACCCCTACTCGCCCGTTGTCATCCCTAAGCTCAAACATGCGAAATCAAAGGCCATTACTTTAACGACATGCATAACCCACCAGAAAAGATTAGGAAGTAGGATGGGGTACTTAGAAGGTCTTTTTGCTACCATTTTTCTATAGAATTCAACTTTACATTTTTAGTTTAGTTATTGAAAGGTCTAAGAAATATCATTGTTTGTAGGTTGGGTATTAGTCCTTTCACACAGGGTTTTAATAGCCATTCCCCTAAAGTGTGATTGGGAGTTGATAAACTCAACTCAGAAAAAATATAATCATTTTTGTGGGGACAAAAAAAAAAAAAAAAAAAAAAAAAAAAAAAAAAAAAACTGCAGTTATTTTTTTGAACAATACACATGCCTTTAACGAAAAAAGAACAAAAGAAACTCATGTAAGTGAAAGCAAATACAGGGCTGCAATTGGCCCAAAATATGTAAAAATCTCATATATATATTATATTATATATATATATATATATCTATCTCTGTGTGCATTCAACCTCCATCTTGTGCATCAAATCAAAACATCCAGTACCCACATTTACTGGCAATCCAAGACAGATCCTAGCGGATGGGGTTTCCAAGCGATCCACACTGCCCATGATATGCTGCTTCAACAATGAAACTTGGAAGCTGTCTCAAAAGTCATTTTATTAAACGGAGATATCGACTCTACGATGCCTCCGAATCGATTCAATGGACGATAACCACCAGCATGAGTCATAAAGTCAGCTATTAGCGTAAGATGCCTAATGTTGACGGATATTCCGTAAGACTTGAAAACATTATTTATTTCTCGGATGATAGTTTCCCTGGCGGCTTCTACTCCGTAAGTGTTCAGCATAGCATGTATGTTATTGGAATAAATATACCTGACATCAAGAACATCTTGCAGTTGCCAAAATGTACCGAAATCAATTCCAGTAGTTTGCAGTGCTGGCATCTCCTTTTTTTCCTTGGATGAAAAACTTTGTTTATTTTCAGGATCCTTCCCAAAGCAGAGGACTTGATTTTCATCGCAAGTAATTTGTTTACAGTCAGCAACCTTTCCAGATCTCTGAATATAAACCTTCTGGGCTGTCTTCTGAGCAATCTACATAGCATAATTCAAACAATTTTCAACACAGGGCTGAAAGAGAATGTATAGTAATAAAATATATAATGAACACCTGCATAGTAACAAAAATATAAAATGCCACATGAATCTAATTATACTCGTAAGTTAACGGCGGTTTTGGGGGTGCTTTTTATTGTGCTGTTTTCATTTTCCTTACAGTTTTTATTTATTTTTATGAAGCTTCTGACCCATAATAGCTTGTCAGAGGGAGAAATGGTGAGTAATGCGTGGGCTAACTTGCCAAGGAAATAAATAAGAGCAGAAGTGTGATAACGAGTAAAACTAAAAGTACCTGAGACAGCAAAATATGAGGTTCATTGTCGGTAAATCTAAAATGGACCTCGAAGTGGAACCCCTTTGCTGACACAAAAATTGCCCTGTCAGTCTCCTTTTTTACCATCTCTGCTCGGACCTTCCTTTTCTTTCTAATTTGGGATCCTGATTTGGTCTTTTTCTCCTTCGACTTGGGCTTAGCTAGGTCCCCAGCTTCTTCTAAAGGACTTCCAGGCATTTCATCACTAGCATCGATAACCCCAATTTCACCCATCCTTACCAATTTCAACTTCATTTTCCTCCTCATCAATTTCACTTTCATCTCCATCTGACAAGTCTGCTTCTCTCACTTCATCATCACAGCCATCTTCATAATCCATCTCATCTGTAGCTTGTAGCTTTCGCTTATGGGCATCCAGACCAAAATCCTCAACCCCTTCACCCATGTTCACCATCATCTGCACCACCATTGTCATCATCTTCTTCCTCACGTTGAGATCTTTTTTCAGAAAGATTTTCATCTGTCTCATTTGATGCCTTCGGTTGTGAATCAGGCGTGAAATTTTTAATACCACTAATTTTAGAAAGCAAAAGAATATGATTTTGTATGGCGTCTTCCAACTCCCTAACAAACACAATCTCTAGGATTTCCTCCCAATCTTCTGATGAATATTCAATGATGGTTCGAAGATGTTCAGGTACATGGAGTGTCATCTCAAGCTTATAAATACGGCAAGTTTGACCATCCTGAATGAAAAATGGCACAAAGGTTACTTTCATACTCTCGATTATGTCTGCCACAGTGATCTTCTTCAACTTATCAGCTAGCTCCTGAGCTTCCTCCCTGCATATAACAAATAGAGTATTTCTAAGTCTATAAACATAAAACACGGTGGCCCTACATTCCATAAAATGTCCAACTAACAAAATACTAGAGGACAAACATCAGATAACACATGGTCAGCAGGGTTTAGCAATATTTAAAACTATGAAAGACATAAGCTCTGTCATTGAGAGCGAATTTACAAAAAAGCAATTGGACATCAATAAACACTAGGTATCGGTTATCAGCAAGGATAGCTTTGCACGCAAAGTTGCATTCAATTGAGACAGAATAATACATCAACCCTACCCTCACTTTAACTATGAACCAGAGCCTTATGTGAAAATAAGATTATTCAATAGCTCAGAGCATTCTCTTTGAAATTTTGAAACAATAAATCCGTACTTTTGCAAGGATTACTTAAAGACTTATAACAAAATATTAAATGTACAGTATGTTCAGTTGTCTACTAACATACCCACCCAAAAAGAAAGAGCAAAAGTATATCACAACAACCAATTAAAGACTCACTTCGATCTCCCCTTTTGCAATGGGCATGTCATAACCGGCGTCTTAATATCATTTGCAGCAGTCATCAAGATCTCTTGGAGACGTGGGATTCCAAGGGTCACATTCATTTCACCTCGTCCCGCAAGATGGAAAGTATTCAGTCTGAAAAAGATAGCAATGACCATATGGCAGGATACATATTAATATAACAAAAAATAATGCTCGCCTAAATACAAAAACAAAGCACATACCAAATGCAATTGGTTGTATCAAAAAAAAGAGAGGAGATAAAAATTTACATCTTTTTTTCAGTTTGAAAAAGAGAGAAATCTTATAAAGCAGAAAAATATACGATTAGAAAGAAAGTGGAACTGATGGCCAATTCAAAGGGACCTGCGAAGGAGAAAGACAAAAGCTAGCTAATGCTAAAAGGGTTTTTAGCAATAGACTCCAAAGAGCAGCTCCATTTACCCAAAAAATTAGACTATTCTAATCTTCCAATTATTTTATTTGTCCATGTCTTTTAGGAGACTAATCAATTTGTCCATGTCTTTAAGGAGACTAAACCAATTTGCCCACGTCTTTTAGGACCCATTCTAAATCCTGATAAACTCATCGTAACTTAGGAGGGTGTATTCAATTAAGATTTTAAAAGAGTTCAATGGAGTTATAAAGTTTATAGAGTACAATATATTTCAATTGATTTCTATCAACTCCATATAGAGTTTGATTGAATTCCTAAATTGATTTTAATGGTGTTTGTCAGAGTTTTATCATAGATTTTAAAAGAGTTGATTAGAGTTCTAAAATGTTTTTTTTCTTGTTATTTTCAGCACTTGATCTATTGCTTTTGTTGCCATCAACAATATCTTTATGGTTTTGGAATAATGTTTCTCTAATTCTTCGTCGTCCATTTAGTACCGTCTACTTCTTCCATCTCCATTAATGACAAAAAAATCTGAATTGCACATATGACATTATAAACAACTAATATAAAGAAGAAAAAGGCAGGAAAAAAAAAAGGGATGCTTGTAGATCAATAAAGAAGGCTAGAGCATATATATGATATGATGTACAAAAACAAATAAAAAAATAACAGCAACGAAAATAAAAAATAAAACAAGAAGAAGGAAAAGTATAAAAAATAATTGGGATGCTACTGTACATCGATATATGATGTACAGCAACATCAACTATTCAAAGAGAAGAGATTGGAACTTTTTATTTGTATCAGCAACAAAAACTATTGGGAAAAAGGAGAAACAAACGTTCAAAGACTATTGATATTGAAGATATATGATATAGGAGATGTACAACAACAGCAACTATTGGGAAGAGATGAGACATCATACATATATGAAAGCATAATAGAAAAAGAGGAGATTTTTTACTTCCACTTGACAAGCACACTGTTCAAAGACTAGAAAGCGTAGAGCACTTTCAAAGTTTCTAGGGTTGACATAAGATTTGTCAAGGTCTTTTGTATTTATACTTACCACTTTAAATTCTAACGAAATCGGGCAACTCATTAATTCCTTCAAAATAAATGACTTTTTGAATACACCTAAACTTGGTTTGACTTCTAAAAAGTCATAATTGAATACACCTAGATTTCAATGTATTTTTTTAAAGTCAATTGAAATCTAAATTGAATACACCCAAACTCTTTTAAAATCTTAATTTAATACACCTAGATTTTTAAACTCTTTTAAACTATTAATTGAATACACCCCCCTTAGTAACAGTTACACTTTAAACTGTATATCGCTGAAATAAAAAGTAATACACTTCACTACTAATCACAATCCACAGCCTTAATTAAATTAAATTTAGATTCTGTTCAGGGTTTGGGGAGGGCTTAGATTCTAGGATTTAGCTAAAGCCTTAAATCCTAAATCCATAGCCCACAATACTGGGCCATGCTAGAATAAAATCCAAAAGTAACTATGTAGGTATTACATTTATGTCACTCACTGAATTTGCTTTCTGTTTCAGTTTTGGCAGCTGACCCTAAGCTCCAAAATGACGATTCTACATTCTAAAGTAATCAACCTCACCCTAAAAATTTAAATCCTACCTGATCAACAATCCAACCCTACCAAACCATTTATTCAGAAAACAAATAACAAATTTAAAAAATAATAAATGTTCCATAAAAGGAGCAGGAAAAATGAATAATTTTGTTTTATGCATTGGCTAAAAATAAGTAAACGTTTTTCCAAGTGCCTAACTAAAACTTACAAGTTTTGGGGATTTCTACTATTGGCCATGCTAAAACAGAGTCAACCACAACACAACACCTAAAACATAGTGGCTTTCCATTTTAACCAAAAATCTGAAAGATTTTTTTTGGTCATCATGTCTGTGAAAGATAAACTCCTACGTTATGCAGAAACCATGCCCAAAGTACGGACCAAAACTCCTAAGTCTCATTGCCAGTCTTCAAAAGTCCATCTAATTTCTCTCCAGCCAAACCACCTAGAGCACAGCCAAAAACCATGCAACTCCACATAACTTTGACCTTCATCCCTCCTCATAAAGAAGAGAACAAAAGTACAAAAAATTACCAAGCTACTTCTGGCTAACTAAACAACTTCAACCACAGACACAAAATTACAAAATGTGAAAATATGATCCACAGATTTGAAATCCTTATTTTACAATATGCACCGCTGGCAGAAAAGGCAACTGTTTGATCTATTTCCGTGAACCATACCACAAGTATGGACCATGCCATAAGACACTTGCCAAGTAAAGATGTTCACCTTGGAGGGAACTCTTACAATCCAAATCGATCCTTATGGTTGAAAAAGCCTACACTGCAACAGTGTTTCTTAAAAAACAACATTTAGATTTATTGGAGAAACTTCCTGAGGATTCTACTTGTCGTTTTCCTGACTTTAGTCCTGGAAGAGTGGAACCAAGCAATTTCTGAAAGAAAAAAAGTGGCGAAGACAATAGCCATCATCTCAGCTTCACACAAGTTCCTTCTAAGCCCAAAGTCATAGTTCAACAGTAAGACAGTAGAGTCAACAAGCCTATTAGCCATGTTGTGAAACCTAGAGAAGTTATAGTCTAGAATACACATTTTCCAAACAACTCTCCCAAACATACACCCTCCGAAAACTTAATTATGTCCCTGTTTCCCCCTTTTTTCAAAAATTCAACTTGAAACCCTACATTGTTCCCAGCCTAACCCTTGCATCTTGAGATGTAACCAAGGACAGACATAAATAGCAAGAAAATGAACATTTAAAACAATATGAGAAAAGTAGAATGAAAACTCACGTCATCTGTGTAGACGGTTCTCCTACAGACTGACCGGCAAGAACACCAACTGGTTCTCCAGGTTGAGCAAGACTACATAGGTATTTGTGCTCCATTAACTTCAAGAAATCCTCTTGGAAGTTATGATCTTTCTCTTTCGAGGCCAAATTATGCACAAACTTCTCTGCTTTTTCTTTGAGAGCCAAAGGCAAGTCTTTAATATAAGGATTTAATTTATCCATTTGACGACGACCTTTCTTGTGAAACATTTCTTTATTCTGAGAAGAATAAACATTAGGAAGTAAATAAATTATTGAAAAATGGTTTTGCAAGGAATTCATTTTCAGAAAACCAGAAAGAAGTCCTTACAGCTATCAGGGATTCAAACTTTTGAATAAAGCTCGTCATATGGACATCAATGCCATCTTCTCCATAACGAAATTGAATAATGGAACCATCAGCATCACGGACGGTATTGTCATAAGAAACTTTTAGGCACTCAAGATTTTTTATTATGCATCTTTGCAAGTATCCACTACGAGATGTTTTGACAGCTGTATCAACTAACCTAGCAGTATGAAGATTGTAGTTAAACAAAGAAAAAATCAGTGAAATGGTTACCAAGGATACAATATACCATTGGCTTTATTTGTTTGACCAGGTAAAGAAAAGAAAATATTTTTGATCCTACAATAACAACATGATGGCACACAAGTGCGCAAAAACACTCCATGTAAGCATAAAAGTGATTTTCTGTCGTAAATATGTTTGAAAATTTTAATCTGAAAGGCTATTCCTAAAAAGGATAAACTACTAAGATTCTCTAAATAATTTTAAATGAAAAGAAAAAATAAAAATCACAGGTGGAGTAAGTGGCTGAAGGAAAAGTTTGAAAATGAAGAATCAAAACGCATACAAACCAACACACAAGCAGCACACGCTACCTATGCTTACAGGCTATAACACGCCCTTCACTAGGGCTGTCTTTCAGAATGAGTCCTATGCCAAAACGGAAAAAGGGATACTTTTTGACACACTAATAAATACAGGTCCCAAATTCCGAGCTATATAATTTTCTTGGGGAGGAGGGAATGTTTTTTTATTTATTGATCTTTGGGTTAAAGAATAGATAAGACGATCAGTGTGGTATAAAAAAACCACTACAGCCTTTCTGAAGACACTTACACTTGACAAATTTGAGGAAAAAATTTCAAATATATGATCTAGGTAACCCAAATGCAAGACGACCTTGTACAGACTTGGGCCTACTCATAAGCAACAAGCATATTTATTCAAAGGATTTAACTCTTTCCAAGGCTCCATCTATTACGAAACTACAACATAATCAAGCATGCACATCGCCACACAAGAACAATATATAATTAAAACAACAAATTATAAATTAAAACTAACAGCAAGCAAAAATTGGTTGAAATGTTACATCCAAACTCTAAATCTAACTCAAAAACATTATATTGTAGAACGGAGGAAGATTTAGCCATGCTCAGCTATTAATTGTCCCTTTCTACTATGAAGATTGAAAAGATGAAGTACAAGAAATAATTCTTAAAGGCGTTGTGGCACACTAATACAATCAATCCAGCAATGCTGCAATCCAATGTACCTCTCAGAAATTACTGTAAAACCATAGCACTGACCCAAACCAACACTACATTATAAAATTAGAGTAGACACAGCAGTTGATTGATGATTAGAACTTATGGACTATAGGGAATTCTTTCCTCCCCAAAAGTCTGTTAGGGTGGGGAACTGAGGAAGCAGGACAAGAGGTTTTTTTTTTAATTTTTAATTTTATATCTATGTAAAACCTTTATCTGTATTTTAAAGCAAATAGAGTGCAATCCCAGTATGCAAAGAACAAGAGTGATCCCTTGGTTACATATTACTTGCATGGTGAATTCTATTGACACCTCCCAAAATGCTCTCTACAACCCCCTAAATGTTTATTGTGACTTGTTAATTAAGTTGGTGGAAGGGGTTTACAGAATCTTGTTACATATGAAAAACATGGTCCAATAAACATGAAATCAAATAATTCTCTTTTTAATATTATGTAATGAGTGTTTTTATTTTTCCAACCCTGATCTTTCATTTCACTTCCCCAAGGGAAAAGCAAGTCTCAGTTACTGAGTCATTACTCAACTTAAACTAGGAGGCTCCATTGCTTGCTTGAGATCTAGAAACTCAAAACATGCAACCAAGACTATGACAAAAAACCACAGTTTAAACCTTCTTATCCACCAGCACTATGATATTTCAAGCAATACAGCTGCACGACAGCCCGACGGGTACAGATGCTGTGACATAAAGCTTGCAACTTCCATAAAGAAAAACAAACAAAAAAGAAACTAGAAAAGAAAAAAAGCATATCTTATATTCTTGCACAACAAAATATTGCTTACGGAAAAACATAAAGGCTGATGATTTCCACCAAAGACAACTTAGACAGGGTGGAGAAAGAAGTTTAAATTACCCTTCACGGCCAGCCATGCAATGGAAATAGTACTCCTGAGGATGAAGACCAGTAAGAAAACGATCAATGATAAAGCCTCCTGCTCGAGATGACCAATCCCATGGGGGAAAGCACGGTAAGGTCTTTCCAGAAATCATTTGAGGGACCCGTTTGCCTTCTAGCTCTTGCTGACCCAAATATGAAGTTATTTGTTGGAGATTAGCCTAATCAAAACGTTAAACAACATTAAATATATATACATATAAATATCTATTTATGAAGTTTCTTGAGTAATACTTTATAACAAAATTTGACAACAAATAATTCGTAGCTTACAGATGGTAACATGTAGACTTTTAAATTAAATCAAAACTATCATACTGTTGCACTGGAATGGTTTACATGATACAATGCAAAGGGAAATTAAACGAATCCCCAAAAAATAGGGTATTGGTATGGTAAGGATACAAAACAATCTAATAATATATGTATTTTTTCCTTTTCCTTCTTCTCTTATTCATGTTTTGTTTCTCTGTCCAAATCTCTTTAAACAAAAATAAAGTTCATAATTTAAAAAAATCTTTAAATTCAACCAGAGCAGAAACCCCCCTTTTTCTGAAAAAAACAATACAAATAACACCTTCGGTATCCCTTGCATATCCATCAAGAATCCATATGTATCCAAGGTCAAACTTTACAAAAATCTATCAGATATAAATTTTTAGCAGAGCTGTCATACAATAACTCGCATACTAACATGTGCACACGATGTTGAGTATCGAATATAAAATAAACTGTAAAACTGATAATATAAATAACAACAACAATAATAAGAACAAACATATCTTAATAAGCATGATCATGATCTAGCATAAAAAGGGAAGATGAAAATAACACATGCAGGTAATCCGTATATGTCGAAGCTACAAAGAATTGCCTTTATTTCACAAAGGAAATCTTTATTTATTATTGCGACTTGTAAGTAAAATATATACTTAGATATTTTATTACCTTTGACATGGAACACATCACATGCAATTTCACACTACACTTTATAACTTGATAAAATATTAAGGTATGTATAACCAATGAACGTATTACAAAATTTCTGCTAAAATACATATGTATCAGTGATAAGAAACAAATCTGGTTGAAGTAATGTCAAAAGCATAACTACTCTTAGTAATCTGATAGTGCACTATCATGTTGCACATAACTCCGAGCATGAATAAGTAAGAAGCAAACTCCAGAAACTTACCACACTACCTTTAGCCCCAGATGTTGTCATAAGATAGATACAATTTTTAACTGATGGTTTTGATAACCCCCTCAACAATAATTGTTTGAACACATCAGAGTTGGAGGTCTTGTTATTAAGCTGACTAATCATTCTCCTATCCAAGGATGCCAAGGCAGATTCTCCATTACTCCGAATAAAATTTTCGATGTTTAATTGCAGTTCCACTGGATCTGCAAATTTGATCAAGACATCAAACATGCATTAAGACAAATGAATCAAGAAATGAAGGGAACAAAATGAGTGTAACAACTTCGGAAAGAAAGACAGGTAAGAAATTACATCTCCATTTTAACCAATTTTTTTGTAAGATTGAAATTCACACCCTAGCAGACTCTATCTGAGACATCCAATGGCATGCTAATTTTCTTTTAGAAGTTAATACTCCAATATCCCATGTTTTATCGAGATTTTACTTGATATTTATGTATGTATAGAGAGAGAGAGAGAGAGAGAGAGAGAGAGAGAGAGAGAGGGTGCACCTTACAGCCCCCATGTCACGTTTTAGCAGCAGGATGAAAATACAATAGTTAATAGAAAATGTCCTACTTACATGTTGCAATCTTCTATGCTAATAACCGTTGGACCTTGGTCCAAACAGTTACAGAATTGTCCTATAAAAACACTGCCCCGCAAGTGACTATATACAACCCATAAAAATTTCAAAGCCAGCCACCATGCCGACAAACATCATGTATTTCCATCATTGCTAACACTCGTATATCAACTCGTCCCCATCTTGTGGAAATTAGACTTTTCACCACAGGTTTCCACCGATAACAAGTAAATAGACCTTCCACCCCCTAACAGGATATAGAAAACACTGAAACGTCAACTGACGTTTTTGGGCTGTGGGTTCACACTCTAAACATTGCTTACACCTCATTCATACAATGACCTCACAATAATCAACCAACATATGTGTGTTGACATAAAAATGTTCACTAAGTAGCTTTTCTGGAAAATGGCATACCTTTTCTCTTAACATCTTTGACCTCGATAAAATCACGGTAAACATTTTCACCCACATCTTCACAACTTTCTAGTTGATCCTTCATTTTTGCGTCTTTGCTTTCCAATAGCAAAAGATCATCAATCCCACACGTGAACCCATGCATCTGAACCACAGCACAATTTAATGCAAGTTTACAAAGTTGCTAAAAAAATTATGGCAAACAAGAAATAGAATTAAATAATTAACAGTGAAAATAAATTCTGAACCCAACTAACCTGCAAATACACGGTAAATAAATGACTCAATACAGAAAGCAATTTTCCTGCAGTATCTGAGCCATAGAACTCCTGAACTGTATGGACCAAACCATAATCACCAAACTGAGCCTTGTCAATCACACCGCGCACTAAGTTGTTTCTATATATTAATAAATGGTTCTCATCAGGCTCCTCTTTTTCCTTTGAGCTATCTTTATCAGTTGCTTGTTCTTTGCTTGGTTTCCTCTTTTTTTGTTGTCCATCTTTACCAGATGTATCTTCTCCTTCAACATTTTTACAATTAAAAAAACCACGTGGGATTTTTGCATCTCTTTCAACAGTAACTGGCGGAGAACCTCTAGTAATATGATTTAGCAAGGCAGTGATGACCTACACAAAGGAGACAATTTCATTTTAAATTTAAGAGTCCAGGAAAATCACAATTGTTAAATTAGTAATCAATAAAAAGAACAAAGCAAAGACAGATAAATGTAGTAAGCGTCCAAGAACATCACAAATAGTTATGCTTTCACACAAGGAGAAAGTCATCCAGATTTTCAACGGAAAACACATTTTGACCCCTAGTTTGGATTATAAATATAGCTGAGTTAATTTACAATAACCTGCTTTCCTGTCCAAAGGGGCTCTGGTTTCCAAATTGCAGGAAGAAGGGGCTGCATTGTGCCTTCAGAGTTAAACATGAAAACTTTTTTATCTGGTTTACCAGAGAAAGCATCTGACACACCGGCTGAAACACAAGAACTGTAAAGAAGCTGATTAAATTGATCCCAACGTAAAAATGTATCCTTCTTTGTAAGGAGGACAGCACTTATAACATGATCCTGAAATTTTCAAAAAAGAAAAAAAACAGCAATAGTTATTTAGAGAAGCATTGGAATTGTTGATCAAAATATTTCACATAAAAAACTTAAATATTATCTTTAAGTAGCACATTACTATTATAATTATTAGATACCTGAATCAAGGCTCTAATGGGATCTCCACTGGTTGGCTTTACGTACTGATTATTTGCATTTACGATATTGTAAGCTTCCGAACGGGAAATTTCATCTTGCGGAAAATGAACATTCATCTCATCACCATCAAAATCAGCATTGAAAGTACTGAAATCACAACATTAAATCACAAATTACCATGTGCAAGCCAAAGACAAATTTCAAGAATCATAGTTCATGCAGTGAATATGTAAACAAATATTAAGATTTATATATGTGTGTATGTGTGTGATATATCAACCTGCAATTAGCATAGTGCATGCGAATTGTTTTCTCCCCCTTCAATACACGAACTACATGAGCCATTATACTGGGTTTGTGAAGTGTAGGCTGCAAAATGAAAAAAAAAAACATGAGCTAAGCACTCAACCAAAAAACTAATTGTTAATCAAATTATAAGAAAAGAAAAATTAACCTAAAAAATTATTTGAAGTACAAATGAAGCCACTTTACCACATCATATTATTGAGATTAGTATATTAATACATAACAAGTGGAGTTGCACAGCCTGTGCATTCATTTGAGCACTGGATCAGTCATCTAAATATTCACATACAAAGTCCCATATGCAACCACTTAAAAAATATGATCTAACTTTCAACTATTATGTAATCATTATTTTGGGTCAACACTTAGGCATCTACACCTTACGTAGACAAATCAACAAATAACAAATAACAAATACCAAACTTCTTTTCTTTACAAGTAAACAGAAGACAAGCAGCATAAGCCATTTACCACTAGTATGGCAAACACAGTACTAACTGCTTCATACCATAATGTTGACAATCAGCCTGGATAGCAAAACAACTTAAAACCTCCTCAACACAAAATATGGTTAGAGAATTACACATATAAAGTCAATTAATCAATACCTGTCGATTGACAAGCACAATGTCCCCATCTCGCAAGTGACGATGCACTATTTTACTTTCAATGTCATTATCAGAGCCCTTCCCATGTTGCATGACAGCCCCTTTCGAAGAAGGTAATTTTCTTGATATTGAAATGCGTTCTCTCCTGTTTTGCCTCAAAATCTTGGGACCAGATTTATCAACATATTGTGTAGCTCCAGGATGGATTTCAGAACCGTTGACAATAGCATTCCTCAGCTTGTCAACATTCCACGGAGTAACTCTCTGTAGGAAGATCGACATTAAAAATAAAAAAACAACATTGACGCTCCATTGAAGCCATAGAGCCCAATAGTAACCCTTACCTCAGGATATGTTAATCTCGTTGCAAAGTATGGAGGAATCCCAATCTCATTAACAGCTAAGTAGGGATCTGGAGATATGACAGACCGGCACGCAAAATTTACCCTTTTGCCCATCATTTTCTGCCGGAACAGGCCTTCCTTCTTCTCAAGCAACTGACATATTCCGGGAGCCGCATCTCTTTGACCTTGACCTAGAATTAAGTACAGAAGGGTCATTGCTTAACTTCTACAGACAGGTGAATAATTGACAAAGATCATGCAGTAACTAATCCAGCATACCAAAGATATAATTATATGTAAGAACCTGCAAATAAATAGCGATCACTACATAAATGCACCAATTACTGTACACAGGGACACAATCCATCTAAGACCCATGGAATACTAACATCAAAGAGAGTGGTCGTGGAAATAAATAAAATCCAACACAGTATAACCTTGCATTTATTAAGAGAAAGCCATTCAGAACATTAAAAAAGAAAAAAGGATTCCCAGTCAAGGTCATTCAAGTGTTTAATAACACTTTGGGAATCAAAACAAGAGTGGGGCCCACATAAAATCAGCAATCACACTCCTGATTTTTCAGGAGTGGGAATCCATGCTGAGGGTGTGGTAATGTCATTGCTGGTAATCATGGGTCATCAACAATCACTCTGATTCCAAGTTAGTAAACATGAGAGCAGTCTCTTTTTGGAACCTTGTGGAGGAAAAAGTGGAAAAGGGATTAGAGGGCTGGAGTAAAACTTATTGGTCAAAGGGGGGGAGGCTGAAATTAATCAAATCGGTGTTGAGCAGTTTCCCAATCTGATATCTATCACTTTTTCAAATTCCTTGAGGTGTGGCACAGTGATTGGAGGGGTTAATGAGAAACTTTTTTGGTGGGACTACTTAATAAGATGGGATGTGGTGACTCAAGTTAAGGAAAAGGAGGTGTAAGGGTGAGTATTAGTGAAGAGGAACAAAACTTTGCTTGTAAAGTGGCAGTGGAGATTTCATACTGCATGAAAAAGGCAGGGATCTCAAGATTGCAGCTAGAGACTCAAGTCGATGCCCATGGATTTTTCTAAAGGGTTTTTTCTTTTGTTGTGTGGTGTTGCTTTCGAGTGGGTATGGGAAATAGTAAGGTTTTGGGAAGCTGATGTCCAAATCTATTTGAGTTTCATTTATATGCTTCAAATTGATTGTTTGAACTTTTCAGGCTTATCAATCTCTTTTTTTTTATATGCATCATTATTGTTCTCCAATTTCTATCTATGATTCTCTTTCAACACTTCTACTGCATGCTGCACACGAAATTTACTGATTGTATTACAAAGAATAATTAGAGGAATACAAAGAATTTCAAAATAATAATAATAAAATATTAAGGGTGCTTTTCTTAATGATTTTTTATACATAAAAAGGAAAAAGGAACAAGCAGAAAACAAAGATGTAAAGAAAAAAAAAGGAACCATAGAACCAAATATTTGAACACAACACAAAATTTATGTCTTAACAGAGAGAATCCAAAATACACATTCACTCACCAGCAGCAGTTTTGCTATTGAACATCACATTTATACTCTCTTGAAGATCCCTCCACCGTCGAATTGTCCTTGAGTGCTCTAAGTTGGTAAGAGTTTGGCTCAAAGAAACATTTGCCTCCAGCACCTTACTTAATAAGACGGTTTGAGGATGCTCCATCACCTAAAAGAAGCATCAAACAAGAAAGGGTAACGTCGTATACATCAAGAACATAGAAAATGTAAAAGCATGACCAAACAAATAGAATTCAGAGAAGGTGGTGGGACATAGCACATTACCCCATAACCTCTTCAAGTAAAACAAAAATTAACAAAAAATCTAGAACAACTCAAACAAGATGCAATTCCATAAAAGAACCTTTTCTAAAAATTTAGTAAAGGCTTTGGGTGGTTCTCTTGTAGCAAGTTTTTACTAAAAAAGAATTCATAATTCTTATATACTTCAAAACGGAAATGAAGAAGCCTTTCTAGATGAAGAAAAATAACTGAGAGTGGGTTCCATAAAAAGAAATGGCACAATGATAATACAATATGTGGTACAGAAAACAACAAACCATCGAAAAAAAATATAAGGTCAATATTTTAGCAAGGTTGGTCAAAAGAACAAACAAGTTTTGAGCTTAAGAGTGCTAAGTCTATCAATAGAGAACCACAAAACTATCTCTTTTATAGATAGATAAATAGACAGAGAAAGGTATTATTATTCTATCCATCAACTGAACTATCCAGTTACCAAAGGACCTCACAATCACAAGGGCCTACAGTGCAATATAGGGAATCCAAACGATCCAATGATCTCTTCCCCCAGTAACCGGAATCCATCTATGAGGGAGTATATTAATGTGATGGATAAATAAACATATAGATAAGTGTCTATGCATATATATATATATATAGAGAGAGAGAGAGAGCACAAAAGTGGGTCCCTGAAGTAAGATATACATACAGAATCACCACCCTTGGATGGAGGACGGAATTTGATTGGTGGTACAAGAACAGTCTCCAAGAAAAACATAGAGTGACCTCCATTTGTTCCAGTTTCTTGGCACTGGATATCACTTATAAAAGAGCAGAGTTGAGATTCATTTTCCCACAGAAGCCTAATAATTTCTTTAACCTGCAAGAAATGATAAAATTATAAAGCACTTCAAAATAAGGATAAGTTTTATTTTGAAGGTCCGCATAGCATAGACCCAAGTCAATGACAACAATTACAAGCATTAATCTCATCCATGTATCATAGTTTCATGCTAACAATGGCAAGGAACATACCTCTGTTGGAAATAGATCTCCCAACAAGGAATTTTTCTGCTTAAAGAACTCACTGAGCACTTTGCTCCCTTGTCCTTTTTGCATTCTTGTGGCAACACTGTTAAAATTCTCATCCTCAAGCATAGATGCCTCTTCATCTTGACCAGTCAAGGGTCCCTCCAGGTTGCACCCTCTGAGGACATTTTCTCTCGCATGGTCATTGCCACTCTACAACCACCAACCCATAAAGGTGAAATATTAGTTACAAATCCAATACTTACAAGGCTGAGGACCCTTAATATTATAATAAAGGTTATAGACTTGTCCATGTTTTTAAAGACAAAAAAGAAATATACATGGGCAGATATCTTCTTACATCTATATATAGAAAAGTAAAACTAACAAGTACTCAATATCTGTGTGAAAGCACAAACTTTTTTGCTTTTTCCCTTTTTTTAAATCAGAAGAATAAACTAGTGACCTTTTTTTTTATAGGAAACACAAATTTCTATTGAAAAAGAAAAATAAGATACAGAAAGCTAGAAAATTATAAGAAACGTATTACAATAAGTTCATAACTCCCCCCAAGATGACTCTGGCATTAAACCCATAAAGGTGCCAAAAAAACTCTACTATTTTCCTTAGAAAATCCACTTCCTCCCCAGTCCACCTTATCTTCAAAGCCTATTATTTCTCCTCATCCAAGCAACCTTAAGAACTATACTAAAACTGTTGATCTTTATAAAATTACTCTCCTTATTAGCACCAACACGGAAATGACCAAAAATCCTCAACCAACAAGAATAGCAATTTTCAGGCCAAAGACGCACTAGTCCAAACAATTGTAGACCCAACAGAAACCTAACCAGAATTGAAAACATTGAAAAGGCAATGCCAAAAACAATAAATTAATACAAATTAATCTACACGCTAGGCATCACAAGGAAACATGGATGAGGAGAGAGACAGGTAAGAGGTTTCTCGCTTGGAGTATCTCACAAGTATTAGTTTTCTCATCGGTTGCCAAACTAACAAAATAACAACAGTTTAGGAGGTACACCAACCTTCCAAATCACCTTTTTGGAAAGAAACCTTCCAAATCATCTTAAAGTGCCTGTAACTGAATCATGAACACATGTTTGCTGGGCCTAACTAGAATCAAAGATATATTATTAATCCAACTATCCTATAGCCCAATTCCGTCCTATAGACAGCGGAAACTGAATGGGATCTGGAAATTCCCTATCATTCAAATTCTAGGGGACAAAGGAGCCATGGAAGATATTATAGCAATCAGTAAAACGAAGAAACAAAGCACAGAAATATGGTTCTCCATACCAAACTTCGTCCAAAAACAACTGATGTGGCACATAGCATGGCAGCTGCTTACTGGTTGTAAATAAATGAGGGTTCACAGTGTGCCCAAATATAAGTAAATGAAATGCTGCAACATCAGTTGGGATTTAAACATTTGGGATACGAGTTGGTACCCCTAGAATTATTAATGCGTAGTGACCTCTTATTCTCTGATTCATTCCCGATATTTGGTTATACAGTTGTGTCTTCCCTCTCTGATCTTTCTTCCAATCAATTGTTATTCTCCAACTCTATCTAAAAGAATGATCAAGCACATGTAATGTGAGGGAAGTAAACCCTTATGGTATTTATGAAATAAAATTGACTCTATAAAACAAAAACTGAACCCTAAAAAACATGCAATAGACAATTAAAAGGCATCCAATCTTCCTGTTATTATCCCTTCAAATAGTTATTGGACAAGTAGCGGAAACAATGTTCTATCTATGCAACAAAGTTATTAGAGAAGTCTTCCTCAACTTTTCTTTCAAACATGAAGGAAGAAAATTTTATTAATGAACAACAAAAACAAAGGAAGCCACAGGCACAAGAGATAGAAGTGTCTATCAATGTCCAAGGACAGCAAAATGCCTACTAAAACCTTATGGAAAAATTAGGTCAGTCTCTCATATAAACATTGACATATGTAAGTAAGTTGGCACAATCTTATGCTGACACATTCATCAAAATATTGGAGTTCCACTGCCTTTCACTTTTACCATCAAAGAAAATGAATGCCAAGACATACTAATAATTACAGAAGTAATATTTTATAACCATAAGTTTAAAAGTCAATAGAAAATAAGGAAGCATATCTTTTTAATAACTATGAAAGCAGATACTAATAATTTCTCTAATAGTTCCATTTACTGAGTATGGAAGACCATACCATTTGGAACCATCCAAAAGTAGGTTTACTGATTTTGGGATTTTTAGCCTTGCAATTCTTGCACTCTTTCCCATGTGTCGGCAAAGCCTTATCCAAAACAGACATTATCTCTGTAAACTGAAGAGAAGTCCATCCTTGCTGCTTCGAATCATTGTCTATGTGATTACCACTCCCGTTGCAGTCTGAGTATTCACTAGGTGAGTCAGACTCTAACCTTTTAGCCCCAAGAACATCACCTTTCATTATGAGTTTCAATTGGGAAACATGTTTCTCAACCTTAATCAAACAAGAAAGAAGCACAACAGAGAAGGGGAAAGAAGTTAGAGAGGATATAAGGTGATCAAGAAAAAAAAACTTCTGAAAGCAATAAAATTAAGGGAACACCACAAAGGGCTATGGAAGACGCTAATTTCATTTCACCAAAGTTCAATTACATGTTGTCGGCTTGTCCGGAAATGGTAGCAGAAGAAACAGGTTCTTTGTAGAAGTTTGTGGAGAATGTTGAACAGCAAGGGATTATAAGCTGGCAAAACAAGGTCAATATGACCACAATGACCCGAGCACGTATATTCTGTCTGACCACACGTTTGGCAACTAAGTCAATCAACAATAAGTCAAAACATCAGGATTCGAACTAGATAGCTACACTGACCAAAATCAATCACTTATAAAGTATTACAAAAAATGGAATTTAAGAAAATAAGAATAAGAAATATGATAATAATACAGATTCCAAAAAGACACTTCATTCTCGTGAAAAAACATAGTATTCTCTAACAGGTCATAAGTTAACAATGTATCAAGATTTTGTTTAACGTTCTGGCATACAAGATTTTGTAGAACTTCATTCTATGCCATATTATTGATTCTCCGAGACCATTCATGGCAATGCAAGAAGAAAACAGTGGACAATACTAAGCAAATAAATCATCATTATTGGCTTGGTCCAAAATTACAGTTTCCACACATCTCTGAGAGTAGAATACTCATTACAAAATAAAGTGGTTCGGTTTTGCCTCTATTTAGTCAAACATAAGCATACCTCTGTAAATCACTAACCCCTAAAATAATAAATAATAAATAATAAAACAAAACAAATAATATGTTTTAACAGTATAAATTAAATCCATGAAACCATTGAAACGAATGTGCAGAGAGCTTAGAATGCAAAGAATGGGCATGAAATGTGGCATTACAGTTGGCCGCGTTCATCCCCGAGTGGGCCCATCGCCTTGTCGTAAAGCCCACCATTCACGGGCGTGTGTGTTGAGTCATCGAACAAAATTGGGCTGGTAACCTTCACAAAGCTGTGCTTCCGAACCTCTTCGTCGGTGAAGAAGCCAAACCTAATCGCATCCACGGACGTCGTCGGAACCTGCGATAAAAGCTCCGAATTTGTAATAATTCACTAATTCATTGAGCTTCCCCATTCGACTCAACACAATAATATGACCACGACCCACTGAAAGTAAAACACAAATACAATCCGTATATACATATAATATACAAATAGATAGAGAGAAGGCGAGACCTCTGAGGCAGCCATGGCGACGATAGAAAGAGAAATATTGGAAGGAATCTCGGCGGCAGAGGAAGAAGATGAAGTTTGATGTCAGAGAGGGAAAAAGGTGTGAGGGTTTAAGCGAGGGTTTTGCGTTTTTCAACTCGCCGCAAGTATACTTACTCGCGTGCGTGTTGCGGTTGTCAATTTACCCTATAAATTACTTCCGGTAAATTAAGGGGTGTATTCAAATTGATTTGAGATTATTTAAACAAATCTTGTTGTATTAATTAGGCTTTTTGTCACAAAACGTCTTTAACGTTTCTGAAATTATCAGATTGCAGTTTTTTTTTATCACTTATGATCCCTAACGTTAATATAGGTACTCTTAAATAATCCATCTGTTAAAAAAACTATTAAATTTAGGAATATAATCATCAAATCAATCTAAAATTATAAAATATATATTTTTTATTTCCTTCCCTTCTCTCTTTCTTTCTTCTTCTTCTTTCTCTCTTTCTTTTCTTCTTCTGGCTACATGCATCGTTGGACAGGAACAACTTGAAGAAGCTTTGACAAGCCAAACAGGACCGATTGTCGAGCTCAGTAAACTTGATGAGCCACCTCAACTAATTCAGGGACCAACAATCCATTATCAGGAGGTTCTTCAAGCATCCTACAAGGCTGGGCCTTTCGGGCTTCTTTCTTCTCCTTCACTCTTTGAATCAAAACCTTCATGGGTGTAGGGTAAGGCTTCCTCTCTGACATTTTTCTTGGAGGTCTTGGTACATCCGCATGCAAAGGATAATCTGCATCACCAACTAAGGTAAGGGTTCTCTCCAATTCAAATCAAGTCGACAATGAAATCTTGTAAAATTGCAAGTTTTCCATATTATTCTTCTCTGCATATAGTGTGGAGATTCTACACAATTACACAATTTAAAATAGAAACCAATAGCTTTGTGTTTCTTCAAACCAAACACAGTGACTGAGATTAGCATTCATATGGAAACGAGAGATCGAACCAGGGCCCGCCAGGATCACAATGTTTCGGGCAAAAGCTTTGTCCAAAATTTTTGTTCATTCAGTGAAAACATCTGTCAAAATTTCAGCATTATCTCATCTGTATTTATAACATTTTCTCAAATTTATACACTCAAAGCAAATGTTAGAAAAATGCACTCAAAGCAAGAAATTGATATAGCATCGAAAGGACACAAGATACAATGCGGTTACCTATTCAAAATGACCAAATGTTGATTTTAACACCTCAAGCATCAACTTCCAAAGAAGACGAACTGAAAAGGAAGAAGAAGAGCCGAAGAAGGGGGAGGGCTGGGTAACTGGATACACAAGAAGAACTGGAGAAAATGAAAATGAAGAGCAAGAACCAATCAAATGAAGAAAACGAAACTGAACAAGAGTCTGAGGAAGAAGAAGAAGAAGAAGAGAGGGGAGGGGGGACTGGAAACGGTAAGCGATTGTGAATTGCGGTGAAATTATTTTATTTTAGTTTTATACGTAAAAAGGAGAGAAACAAAGAGAGAGAAGAGAGAAGGAATCTGGCGGAGAGAAAGAAGAAGAAGAAAAGAAAGAGAGAAGGGAAGGAAATAAAAATATATATATATATATATATACTTTATAATTTTGGATTGATTTGACGATTATATGCTTGGATTTAATAGATTTTTTTATAGAGAGACTATTTAAGAGCACCTATATTAACGTTAAGGACCATAAGTGATATAAAAAAACTTTAATGATGCAATCAGATAGTTTCACAAACGTCATGGCCGTTTTGTGATAAAAAGCCTATTAATTAAGACTATAGGAGCATTTTTCTCACTATTTTAACCCAATGTGTACCTTTACCATCCTTAAAAAATAGTGACACATGTTCATGAGTTTAACTATAATTAACTCTTTGTTTTTTATTTATATGATGACATTATTATGAAAGAGAAACAATGCTTTAATAAGATTTTTCATAATTTATCCTTAATTATTCTATTAATTAACCCAACAAACTTTCCATTTTTCTATTAATTACCAATGAAGCGAACAACAACCCAAATAATTTAAACATCATGACGATCATTACTCAAAAAATAATTGATTCATTCGACACTATTGAACACTTTGACACAAAAAACCAAAAAACAAAAAAAAGCTCTTGTACGCCACTCCTCCTTCATAACCAAGGTCTAAAAATACAGCAATTTCGATGGAAATATCGGGATATTATTGATATCAATAAAATTAAATAAAAAGCACGGAAATTGAAAGAAAAACTTGGAAATTTTTATTGAAACTTTGTATGATGTTTATTTAGTATCACAAAAAAAAAGAAAAAAAAAGGAAGGAAATGCATTGCATGATGAGTTTAACTAATTTAAGCTGATTATATAGCGAGCTGACAAACATTGTGAGTGTAGAAAATATGTAATAATTAATGAAAGAATATTAAACACACCATAATCATTTATATATAATGATTTACTATATTATTTTACACTTTATACATTGCATTGTAAGATATGTGATTGACTTAGTGCTACATAAAGTTCCCTTTTGCGTATTATCACAAAAACATAAGCAACATGGTGGTTAAGGCATTGTAGGAGTGAAATGGCAGGGGTTTGAATCCCCTTTGCATGATGCTTTGTGTTTTTTTTTCTTTTTTCCATTACATCGATAGTTTTGATATTTTCAATGTTATAGCGATATTTTGACAAAATATTACTGAAGTGTGAGGGAAATTATTGACATCGATATTTTCCGATTTATCGATATTTATACGATATGTGCATGTATATGTTCCGAATATCCGTGACCCGAAAAAATGATAATATCCTATATATTTCGTCGATATTATCGATATTTTAGACCACGTTCATAACCAAGGACGGTCCCATGAACAAGCTAACTTAGGCTATAGCTCAGGGAACTTGTTTTTGTTTTTTTTGGACTACATTAATACCCTAGCCTAGTGTCACGGGATGACTTTTTCGGAGTCTTCCTTTCATGCGGCCTTAGACTTGATCGCCTCTTGAACAAGCTAAGTCAGCCTCCTTCCTACAACCCAAAATCAAACCAAGCAAAGAACAATCGCAAGAGCAAGAACGCAAAAGAATGCTAAAGAAAGTTTGGGAGAATATCTGCTTGTATTGCTACTCAAATGCTTTACAAGTTATGAGGTGAGGATACACAATGTGGCATCCTCCTTATATACTGTTCCTATCCCACCTACCACTACAACAGGTGGCTAAGATACAATGTCACCTACCGGCATCTACCAACTACTGTCACCAACCGTAGTTTACCAACTACTGTACAACGAATCTGGACATGTGGACTAAGAGGTCTAGCGTGATCAATCCAATTGCCTGGGCCTTGAACATGCGGGCCGTGACATTTTCCCCCACCTAATCCGGTGACGTCCTCGTCGCCGCAGTAGATCCTTCTCATTCGAATGCTTCGATGATGTCTTTGTACTTCCACAAAGACTCTTCTTTCTCCCAATTGCCTTCGGACTCTGGTAGGCCCTTCTATTTGACAAAGTACTCAAAGTACCTCGGTACACCCTTGCGTCGCACCTCTCGCTTGGCCATAATGCACTCAACCTCCTTGTCAAATGAAGTCACCATCAAAGGTGGAGCTCGTTGAGACTCTCCACGACTTGGCTCCTCGAGGTCAGCATGGTAGGGCTTGAGATTGCTCACGTGGAACACCGGATGAATCTTCAATCGAACTGATAGTTCCACACGGTAAGCAGCTCTTCCCACTAATCGGATGATAGGAAATGGACCCTCATATCTCTTCAACAACGCCTTGTGTAACTTTCTAGTGGACTTGTGTTAAGAGAGATTGAGCTTCACAAAGACCATATCACCTGGTTGAAACACAACATCTCGTTTATGCTTGTCCGCCCATTTCTTCATCTTCCGAGTTGCCTTCTCCAATTGGGCCCAAGGCAGCTCATTAATCACCTGCCACTCATTGGCCATCTTGTATGCAGCTGGGCTACTCCCCATGTAGCCTGACACCACTGTGTTCGGTATCATAAGTTGTTGTCATGTTGCTAACTCAAAAGGACTTGACCCTGTTGACTCCGACCGCTGCAAGTTGTATAAGAACTGAGCAACATCCAACAATTTTGCCCAATCTCGCTGGTTGGCACTCACATAGTGCCTCAGATTGTCCCACCTTGGAACATAGATCATCTTCCTTGTTGCATAAAGAACACCATCATCAGGCCAAAATCTTATTGTCTTCCCATCTTTGACAAGCTCTAACAGACTTTTGGCTTAGGGATCATGCAACAAGCCCTCTCGTATCCTCTGCTCCTTGTCATTGAGCTTCCGACTCTTGAAAGCCAATGGGTGTCCATCCTGCATGAGTACATCACCAATAGCATAATCTGATGCATCAGTGTGTACCTCAAAAGGTTTGCTAAGATCGGGTAGTCTCAGCATTAGTTCCTCTATAAGTGCCCTCTTCAACTCATCGTAGGCATGATCCACTTTCCTCCTAGGTGGTAAGGTTTTGGGCAACTCCTTGACCTCTGCAAATGCCTTAAGGACTGCATCCCTCACTTTCAGGACTGGTTTGACTTCCTTCTCAACTGTGTACATCTTCATAGTCCCAAGGAACTTCGATTCGCCCTTCTTCCAAGACTTGGAAAGTTGCATGACTGACAAGAGCTTCGACTCGCCTTGTTGCCTCATCACTGGCACCATGCATGGCATTGCTCCACCCTTTGCAATGCACATAGTATTGTAGAATGGAATGGGAAATGCTTTTACCTCGTCTATGAACTCCATTCCTAGCACGACATCGTAGTCATCCATTGGGATCACGGAGAAGTCAGCTACTCCCTTCCAAGCAGCAACGTGTAGCTCCACACCACGAGCTACCCCATGATTGGTTTGGCAGTTGAATTCACCGTCTTCATGCTGCCTGCTTCCTTCGAGACTCGACACTCAAGTCTCTTTGCTTCCTGCACAGATATAAAGTTGTGCGAGGCACTTGTATCCACCAGGCAACGGGTTGTCTTGTCATTCACCATGGCGTCGACGAACATCACTCCTTTAGCTTGAACCTGTGGTTGAGCGACTTTGGCCTGTATGGCATTGAAGCGGTGAATGGCCCCCATTCTTGCTTCCCTGTCGACCTCATCTTCCTTCTCTTGGTTCATAGCATTCAGAGCTTTCTTTTGCGGATAATCCCGCATTATGTGCGCTCCATCTCACAAGTAACAAGCTAGCTTCGACTTGTCTTTCCCCTTGTCACATTTGTCATTCTTCTTCCCGGATGACTTGTGACTGTCATACTTGTCTCCTGACTTGCTACCTTTTTTTGGCTTGTTGTCTCCCCCACCGGATCCACTGCTATCTTTCTTTCCTTTGAACTTGGAGTCGCCTTGATCCTTCTTCTTGAACTCAACAAGAGACTCAGCTGCAGCAATTGCCTCTGACAAGGTTTGGACGTGTCTCCTTTGTAACTCCAACTTGGCCCAATTCTGTAGGCCAGTCATGAAGTACATGAGCTTGTCTTCATCCGTCATGCTAGGCACCTCGAACAATAGGTTGGTGAACATGGCGACATAGTCCTTCACGTTCCCAGTTTGCTTCAGCCATCTCAGCTTCTCCTTTGCCTCATACTTGGCATTCTCTGGATAGAAATGCAACATAATATCCTTCTTAAATTCATCCCAAGTCTCAAGTGTAAACGTATCTTGTTCGATCTCCATGGATCGACGACGCCACCACATGAGAGTATTATCGATGAGAAACAATGTTGCCGTGTTGATCTTGGGCTCATCATCCTCGAGCTTCAAATACTTGAAATACCTTTCGATATTCCACAAAAACATGTCCAGCTCCTTTGCCTCCCTCTTCTCATTATAGGATTTGGGCTTGAAAGAATCTAACACCTTGGGTTCCTTCGGAGTCCGGGTCTTGTTCAAGACAGCTTCCTTGCACAAAGCCCAATCTCCCTTCACATCCTTCACCTCATCACAAAACAAAGTAAGCTCCGCTAAGAAGTGATCCAACTTGATTTGGACATCTAGCCGCATGTTGTCTAGCGTGGAGTTGAGGGCTCCTTGGACTTGGCCTTGAAGCTCATCCACCACAGCTTCGAAACCACTCTTCATAAAGATGTCCTCCTCGAGTCGCTGATCGAACTCGACCACGGCATTCTCCATCTTGGAAAGTCATTTCTCCATCGTGGCTACAACATCTCTAAATCGTTCCCTCTTTGATTTGCCCCCACGATCCATATTGACCTTGGACAGATTAGTCTCCACATCAGATTCGCTCTTTGACATGCTTCTTCGAATGATTCGAGCTTTCACTCTGATTCCAACTATCACGGGATGACTTTTTCGGAGTCTTCCTTTTGTGTGGCCATATACTTGATCTCCTCTCGAACAAGCTAAATCAGTCTCATTCCTACAACACAAGATCGAACCAAGCAAAAAACAATCGCAAGAGCAAGAATGCAAAAGAATGCTAAAGAAAGTTTGGGAGAATATCTGCTTGTATTGCTACTCAAATGCTTTACAAGTTGTGAGGTGAGGATACACAATGTGACATCCTCCTTATATACTGTTCCTATCTCACATACCACCACAGTAGGTGGCTAAAATACAATGTCACCTACCGGCATCTACCAACTGCTATCACCAACCGTAGTCTACCAACTACTGTACAACGAATCTGGACATGTGGGCTAAGAGGTCTAGCATTATCAATCCAACGGGCTAGGCCTTGAACATGCGGGCCGTGACACTAGGCAACCCAAATAAAATCTTCTTAAGTAACCCCACTAGACTGACTTTTCCTCTCTCTCTCTCTCTCTCTCTCTCTCTCTCTCTGGGAAAATAGGATTTCAAATTGACTTTGGTGTTCTTGCATGTATGAATTATCAACTAGGGATTTTGATAAATTGATTATTTGTTAACATGTCGATAGAATATGTGATAAAGGCCTAGTTATTTATTTACAATTGACCACATTTTTTGGATTTTGATTAGATATTTAACTATTTAAGTATGTTTTTATCTACATGTACTAGCATTTTGAGGGGTAATGCTCAATATGTCCCCTTTGGTTTTTTTGTCTTTAATAAAATTCAATGGTACTGTCGAGTTTTCAATAAGTTTGTACGTAAGAAAAATTTAGCCCAAGTTATTTTAGGGTTCAAATCCCAGATCCATCCTTGTTCAAAAACAAACAAAAAAAAAAAAAAAAAAAAAAAAAAATAAAAAAAAAAACTAATACTAATGCCTTTGATTAATCCTGTGAAGCTTTAATTCGAATTGAACTTAACTTAAATCAAATAACTTTAATCACTTAACAAAAAAAAACAAAAACTGATTGAACAAAAAAAGAAAAACTTCTTGGAGCACGTGTAAATTCACGAACTTTACTACCATCGAACACCCAATTGAAGTGACTTCTGTCTTTCTTATTCTCTTTTTTGGAATAAGAACATTTGCTCCGCCTTTATTTTGGGTAAAGTGTGTGTGTGGGGGGCCCCCGGCGGCGGGGGGCGGGGGGGGGGGGGGGGGGGGGGGGGGGGGTGGTTGTGAGGGGGTTCACACACCAGAACAAAATAAACTATTCACCCTGTCTAAACAGACCAATCTAGCTTTAGGAATACACAAACATCACCACCTACACAAGAACTGACCCAACTAGGAGCCGTGTCAAGAATGAATAAGCCCAGATCCAGGTTATGGCTCCAGTTGGCAAGACAGTCAGCAACTCCATTCTTCTCTCTATACACATACGTGGTACAATGACCAAATTTCTCCAGTTCACAATAGCTATCAACCAAGGCTGCCAAGGGGTGCAAACCAAGCAGAGAAGGTTGCTGGCAAAGTTTCCCAGCGACAGCACTGCCTTTTCAGTTTCTATTGTTTTGATTTATTTTTTAAATTAAATTAATCAAGAAAAGTGAAAAGTTTGAAAGGAATGCGTTTTGTTTAAATTTCCCTTAATTTAGTTCGGCCTGCAGTGTCCTGTTTCAGATTTTAGTTGTATACAAACTATAGCATGTTTAAGGGCTAAGAAGCCTTGTAACAATTTTGCTAAGTCTACTGAGGGTGGACATTTTAGAGACAATTATGTTCTGGAAAATGTCATGCTTAACCAAAATACTCCCGTACACATAAATTACACCGAACAGAAATGATAAAAGCGAAAGGGTCGTGTCCAAAGCCTCACCATGTTCACTAACAAACAAGGTCAAAGGAAATGTAATTTCTGAGGGGCATCCTAGACCTAGCAAGTGCTGCTACAGCCATTTTTAAGAGTCTATACAGAAATTACCCTAATCAACCAGCAGTTAATGAATTGATATGCACACAAAATATGCGTTTTACAGAATCAAAGGGGCACCACAGAGAAAGAACTTTAAAGCTCGACCACACTATGGTAAGGGAGGGGTGACGAACACGCAAGCAACATGAATCACAAGTTGCCGAGCTACAAAAGGCTTGGGAATGAAGCTGTACTCTATTGCTGTTTTTCTGGTTTGCCTGACGACTCCCCTTTGTTATTGTTATTTGCAGGAGCCACTGGGGCAGGTGTTGAACGCTCTGACTGCGAAAATCGAATCAAGATCTGCATAAGGACAGTAACAACGCCCAAACCCAATGCTGAAAATGCAATACCCTTCCACGAGGATAGAAGCGAAGACCAGTAGAGGAACTTTAGAGCACCCAAAATAAGTAAACAGGCCCAAGCTGTAACAACCTGCACTAAGCATGAGTTAATTAGCAGTACATACAAGACACCCCCAGTTACCTGAATATAGAGAAAAGGTAACACGGTAATAAATAAAAAATTGAGTGGCAAGATGGCTAATTTTTAAGAGCACGTATCCCACCAAAAGAGACTTCAGCGGCCGACCAGTAACTTTCAATTGTTGATCGCCGAAAGTTTGCTCTACTGTGTGTTTGTCCAACAATGCATCCTAGTATATGAAAAGCAAACAAGAAGAACATCAAAATTAGGACATTGATACATGAATTATTGGAAGCAAAACCCGATTAGTCAGTTCAATTTGATTCAAGAATATATGTGCAAAATACATCTTAATCTTTTCCCTTCATTTTCCAAGTGCATGTATTTCATATACGATACCAGAAATGCCAGGAACACAACCATGCAACACATTATATAGTAGTCACCTTGGCTACAAATATATCTTTACACCATTGTGCAACAGCCTCATCAGTTTCAGGCAAATCCCTCATTACATGCCGCTTGATGTGCACATGCACCTGCAACAGAGTAACAACCAGGGCAGGCAAGTTTGTATAAGCCAAAAACCCAGATATAAAAAGGGCAGCTCAGTGCACAAGGCTGCTGCCAATCCATAGGATTCAATCAGTAATCACTAACATAAACAATTTCAAATTTTGTAATCATAAAAAGCATTCAGCACAATTTCAAGACCCTCTGAAAGTCAAATGAATGTACAATGCAAATCTAGCATTATCACAGTAAGTAGAAAAGCTTCAAATTATGTAGTTGACATCCAGAGATGACACGAAGCACTTGTTACTACCCAAGTGAGAAGCACGTGCCATTGAAATCTCCTCACAGATACCAAAGGACCCACAATGTTCAAAAAAACATAAAACAAAATCATTGCCCTTTGCCCTTTTTCCTCCCAGAACATTTGAAGAACATGCTCAATGAAGAAATATGCCAACTAGTGATTCAAAACCACAAGGTATAAGAGAATTGATAATGCAAAAATGATCACAGTTTCACTACTCGCACTGCACATCACACCACAACTATCTGGACAGATGTTTCTTGGAATCCCTTGCTTAAAAAAGCCGCATGTGTGTACTCAATTAAACAAAAATGTGCATTTAACATTCTGTGTCAGTTCTACAATTAAACAACTTACACAGCCTTTTTTAAAATCTCAAGCAAGGCAGGCTTACCACAGAAGGTCGCCCCTCAAAGAGTCTTAGCATTGTTGGTGCAGGTGAACTTTTAGGAATAGCCACTGTTACATCATAAATGGCTGGAGCAAATGAGCGCATCTGACTGACTGCAGTGACAAAACCCTGAAAGAAACAAGAGTTTTACCAGATAAGCCAAAACCACGTGTAATAGGGAATAATGGCCTGTTGTAAAGGAGGATTCCAGAACATTATACTTTCTTATGCTGATGGGAATTCTGTAACCAGCCAGGAGATGGAGAAGGCATTCCAAGAAAATTATTATTATTGTTTTCTTAAAGTAGTATGAGAAAATGCAATGAGAATTTTACCTTAGTACGGGGAATCAAAACATTTCTAGGGACAGGAAGCCCTGTTGTGGCTGCATATTCTTGAGCTGCTAAAAGCTTTGCCTGTGTAAAACGAGTGCCTTCTACAAACAAAGCCAACCAAAAGGGCTGAGGGAAGTCCTTCAGCCGTTGAACACCTGACTGCAGATTTATTACCACAAGAAGCAAATGAGATCAACAAGGTTACTCCAAAAGTAGACATTTTAACGTATTGCATATGCACAGCTAGGTTAGAAAAGAAATGTCCCCATTCAAAGTGCAAGGCTAATCCTAATCCCCTTTTACCCAAGTCTAACAATGGCTCCTGTTTGGTTTCAAGGAAATGTGATAGTAGTGAAAATTCAGTAAATAAAAAACAATAATAAAAAATTAAGTCAAAGAGTCAACTTATGGATAAATGTTAAGTAGAGTCTCAGTCAATATATTTGGGTCTTGGAAAGACTCAACGTCGTATAAGTTTCTTCCTCCTATCATCAAAAGGGTGTCTCTTATAAAGCAATCACATTTGGGAAGAACCAAAATTAAGTATTGTTGAAAGACCTGGTGATTTGGTATCTTTTCTTTCTATTTCTTTTTTTTTTTTTTTTTTTTTTTTTTTTTTTTCCTTTTACTTTCCTTTATCTAACCATACTCATTTATCCTCCTCCTATTATTTCCCATCGAACTTTACGGTTACATAAACTATGAATCTTTCTTTTATCTAAACCTCTTCTAATTGCCAGTTCTACCACCTATGACCACAATAATCATAGGCAACAACTCACCTTCTTTTGTCCTACATCAACATGGTAGCCGAGCCAAAACATTCTCTATGTTCTCCAAAGTTTCCCATTTCTTCAAGTAAAACAGTTATAAATGCAGAACTTTCATCTAGATTTAAGGATTTGTCTGGCACTCGGTTAGTTGATTGAAAAAATAAATCAGTTCATTGAAAAATAGTTATAGTGGTAGGAAAAATGGAAACATCAATTTGTTACATACAGTCCCTAAGCAAGAAGAACCTAGACTCTTTGTGGAAGAGAAGTGTGAGAAATTGGAAGTCAGTGAATTTTATGGGGACAAAAACCCTGAAGCATTTCTCAATTAGCCACATGGCTTAGCTTTTTAGGTGGCCTCTCTTGGCAGATGAGTGAATCCTCTTTTCTGTAGAGAGTTTGGAGGAAAAAAGAACTATCAAACCAATTATGCAGTCATTAAAATTTAGGAGATAACAAAATGACTATGAAGTTCATCTACAACACACGACTTCTTATCAACTAATTACAAGCAATGAGTTCACATACAATTCTCAGAATTGGTGCTATGAAGTCTATTTTGAAGATATACTGTCTGATACTTTAGCTTGGTTACAAAACCTGACTTCAATGAAATGAAGATATTTATGATATCTATGTCCAGATTGCTTATCAAATTGAACAAGAGTATAAAGGCAAGACTCCTTAAGAGTTTCATGAGAAAGCAAAACTCTCTAGTGTAAAGAACAACTGACATGTGCCTGTGTATATCATATGTATATAAAATATGTAGATAAACAACCATACACCAATACCTTTAATGTGCCTTCATCTTTGGCCCAGCTTCTTTCCAAGAAAAGATACTCAGAAAACCACATTGACCACCCTATGACCTGCATGTAGAAGGCATGCCATTTACTGACAAGAAATAAGGAACACCCAAAAATAAGGCAAATGAGAATGCTTATGTTAAATGAAATGTAGACTGGATGACAAAAGTGGGGCCACAATACAACATTTGCAGCAAAACCCCAAACCCGCAACTATTTCATGAAAATGTATCAAATTAAATTTTTAATAAAGTCTATAATAAAATTGCAACACAGTCTGAAATTAAGTATTAATGACATCTAAACTTCTAACTATTAATACCTCAGGATCATAACAGACTCACAAACTTCAAATTTTAAAATCTTATCTAAGTTGTTAAGGTTATAAACTACTCTCATTTAAGAAAAGATTACTTAAAAACAAAAAAGACAAAAGGACCACTTGTGGGGCCAACTCTGCATTGTAGTTTAATGATCTGAACCATTTGTTTTCTCTCCATTCAAGAACCATCCTTGCAAAAATTGGCCCAATCGAAAACCACCTAACCATCTGATTATCATTACGATCATTTAGGGTTTACAAGAAACACTGTTTTAGTCTATTTATTTTATCACAATTCGACGTTTTAATGATTTTTTATTACGCTATTTTTTCACAAAGATGACTCTTGAATGGAGTCTTAAGAAAATAGATGGCTCAGATATTGAACTACAATTAACAGTAGGCCCCACAAGGGATCCCATTTGTTTGCATTCCTCTATGGAAAGAGCGTCTATGTATGCAATGTCTTCTTGTCAAGACAATGTGGCAACCTAAGATGCTTATGTTATCACACTATGAATCTAGACCACACGTTCAAGCAAGAACCAGCCTGATATAGAAAATATCCCTTCTCCATGTAGACACAAACAATGCATGTATGTGTGTGTGTGTGAACTTAACAATTTCTGACTTAAAAGCTTCATCTCCACATGCTGACAGGACATCTTAGGGTGGAACATACCGGAAGGAATTTTGATGATTTCTTCATTACAGCTAAGCTGCTTCCAAGGCAACCTGACCGCTGCATAAGTACATTTAGTTCTAAATCAGCAGCATAAAAAAATATAGCACAGCACTAGTCTATATTGTGAACAACTTTTACAAGCACATGTGAATAAACCTCTATATAACTTTTGTGTGCCTCTACAAATATAATGTAAGCATATCATAAAACAAACTAACAGATAAAAAAGTACTTTTTGATAATTTATTATATGTTTGAATATAAACTCGTTTCTGATATATATATATATATATATATATTTGTGCATCATGCATGTGACTTAACTATGATAAATAAACAGTGTACCTGAGCCAGAACCCATCCAACAAGCCAATCAATATCACTTCTATGATTGGATATGACAAGTGCATGTTCTTTACCTAGAAAATAAGAAACATGAGCAGATAAATGAACTCTCCTGCATAATTTTGAAAAGGACAATATATACCTAGTCCTAGGCACAAAAACATCAAACAAGAGAAAAAGTTTAAGCCTTACCCATTAAATTAAAGGTTTCATGGTCTGTGTATACTTGAATCAGAAAGAAAAGAAAAAAACAAAGAGGATAACTAAATCAAGATTCAAATTAAGTGGACATGGAAAAAAATAAATTATGGTTCAACTTCGAGTTAAGTGGGTCTTCATATATATAACTTTTCTAGAGGTTCTATATAAATAGGTAAATAAATAGGATGTGTATGCTATTCGCCTTTCCATGTTCCTATACTAAAGGTTTTCAAACTGTACTGGAAATATAACGACCCAGTAATGCACTGTCCATATTAGTGTGACACCCCACTAGACACATTAGGATATCTTAATCTCTCACTATTCTTTTTTTCTTGATAAGTTACTCTCTCTCACCACCTTGAAATGGATAAAAGAGACAGTACACTGTTGCCCTTGGTCTGATAAAACACAAGTAAATTTGTAACCAATCGCCTCTCTCCAACCCCAAAAAGAAAAATATGCAACCAAAACCTTCCTAGTTTAGGAATTGATAGCATTTTAGGGATTTATACAAGCTTATGAGAAGAATATTTGATCCACATGCTTTGATTTCCGCCTTCAGCATTACATCTTCTAGTCTTTCTTATGGTAGCAATTGCTGCTTTGAATCTTTCAAAAGCCAACAATAACCTTAATAATTGGTTCGTACAATTTGTACGGGCAAAGATTTTTTTGAAAAATACATAGTTACAAGCTAGCAGAATAAGTGGGAAAGCACTTAAAAAATGCTCAACATATATTAACTTATTTGCAGTTTAAGAAAGTTAAATCAATCAAAACCACTAAAATCACACGATATGGGGGGCTAGCTAATACCTTAACACCTGCCCACCAATCAATGAGCCACACCAGCTCCAGCCACAATAATTCTGCCACCACTCTGTTTATCCTTCTGTATAAATTCTTAGACACAGGCCGAATAAGAATGAAGCAAATCGCCTGAAACAATTGACCAAGTATGCTGCACAGATTCAAACCTCAAAAGAAAAGAAAATGATACAATCGATATTATAATTGAACAGAAAAAAAGAAAAAAAGTGAACTCAATCTCAAATTTTAACTCAGTTTTGAATAATAGAATTAAGCTCAATGGGCTCAACAGCATGAGAGATTCAAAAACGAAGTTCTACAGTTTCGTTTCATTCCCAATTGTTCTCCGAATCATTGGAATTATACAGGCCAGATTAGAAAGTCGAAACAAAGCCGAGATTCACATGCACGCTGAGAGACGTACGCTACCCAAAGAACCCACTTGAGAAAGAACAAAACCATAAGGCTAAAATCAATCACTATAAGCAACTTATACTGAAACCCCGGAAAGGAAAGAAGCAAAACCCTCAGAAAATACAGCCCAAAAATGAAGAAATCAATAACAAAAAGAAACTGAAAAATGAGTGAACCAAAAACCAAATCTACGCAATTACGAAAATAAAATCCAGAACCATTAAGAGAAAAGCGAGAAGGAGGTGGTTGCCTGAATGAGATTGACAACGAGGCCTGAGATGAAGAAGAGCAGGCCCAGTGGGACGACGACAGCTGCAGCAACAATCGGCATGGCCCAAAACCCACAAAGAGGACAGAACGAATTTCACAAACACACACAGATTTCAAAATTTCAAATTCCCAAGTGCTCAAAAAGGAATGAAAATTCTTATTTGGCGTTGAATTTAAACTAGAGATTTAACGAGCGAGCCCTATGACGGCAAGTATCCGGAACTCAGGCACTGTGAGTGAAACGTGTTTGTGAAAATGCGTCAGAGTAATGTTGCGCGCTTTAAATGCCGTTTCTCATATAATATATAACAAGGGAATGAGAAGGACGGCAATGTGTGAGAAATGGGCTTTTTTTTCTTTTCTGGTTTTGCAATAAAACTCTGTATTTATTTCTTGACCTTCTGCTTCCTTGGGCTGATAACCAACCAGAGTCGGCATAATATGGTTGGCTTGAATCTCACTGTTGATGGGGTTGATGGGGTTGATGGGGGGTTGTTGGGTCCATGGCCCACATCTTATGAATTGTATCCCAAATAGTCAAATATTTGATTTCTTATCAAATACAGATGTCTTGTTACTAATAGTGTGGCATTTAAAGTTGTTATCTGCCATCTGATTGATCACATAAATTCCTGTTCTAATACGGTACACGGATGGTTCCAACTTCCAATTTATGACATATTTAAGGGCTGAGGTTGAATTTTTGGGCTTAATTGAATATTTGGCCCATTTCACTGTCACTTCATAGCATCAATAAACAAAAAAGCTAATATTGAGGCTAAAAAAATCTCAATGAAGATTCATGAATATTTTAGGCCCAATGCATTATCGTACTATAAAAGAAGCCTAGCTAGTGAACCCGTGTAGGCCCATCAAATACGGCTACTGAGTGCCTATGCAAGTTTTGACGTTCGCACCATGCCGAGCGAGACTACAATTTGGCATGTGGGGATGTCATGGTACATGCATACCAATCTCACATGCAAACCTGTAAGATTTGACAACTTCACATGCCTGAGCTCACATAGCCCACTACTTTGTCAAGCATTATCTAAGGCCTTCTCCAACCCATGAGGTGCTAAACCCAAATTTCCCCCTTCCAAAAAGTGACTATTTGGGTTTTGCTCAGACTCAAATTGTTTTTTCTCCTAACCCTACGGACTCAAATTTTAGGTATGCAACTTTATTAAATTGTTTCAGAATGGTTTAAGTCTATTTTTTTTTATAGATAACTTTTCTTCATTTAATCTTTTTAAATAACATCATAATTTAATTTTTTGAACAATTTGACCTAAAAAAATTGAAATTCCATAAATTTAATTTTAATCCAAAAGTAAAAACACACAAAAAAAAAAAAAAAAAAAAAAAAAAAACATAAAAAAAACACAAAAATGAAAAAAAAGAAAATGAAACAATTGTTTGAAACCTCATTCACCATTTCCAAAGCTCCTCCAAAGGTGATTGATCAAATCATTTCGGAGACTCTGATGCACATGTGGAGATCGAACTCTATTATGACGAATCATGTAATCAGAGAGAGTCTGCCTATCTTGGTGGTACTCATATGTAATGTTTGACTCCAACTCATATTATTTTGCTCTAGCCCTCCTGGATCGTTGTGGACACATATCCTCATCATTAGATTCCTCTTCAACATATTCATACTCATCTTCCACAATCATGTTGTGCAAAATTATACATGTCATCATGATTGAGTGGAGGTTATCCTTGCACCACACACGTGCAGGCTTTGAACAATAGCCCATCGAGCATGTAGTATTCCAAATGCTCTTTCAACATCCTTCCTGTACGCTTATTGCATTTGTGCAAAAAGCCTCTTTTTTGGGTTATCAAGAGAAGATATGGTCTTCGCCAAAGTAGCCCAACGGGAGTAGATCCCATCTGCCAAATAGTAGCCCAAATGGTATTGATTCCATTGACAATACATTCAACATGAGGAGCCACTCCATGTACCACATCATTTAACAATGGAGAACAAGCTAAAATGTTGATATCATTGTTGGATCCAGCGGCTCCAAAAAAGGCAAGCCATATCCATGTCTCGTACGAGGCCACAGCCTCTAGCACAACAGTGGGGTTTTTTTTTGTGACCGGTAAACTGGCTTGCCCAAGAAGATAGGGAATTCTTCCATTCCTAGTGCATGCAGTCAAGACTTCCTAACATGCCTGGGAAGCCTCGACTGCTTGCCTTGTGCAATAGCTTGTAAAGGTCAGCTGGATTTGGAGACCTGAGGTACCATTGGCCATACACGGCTTCAACAGCGCAACAAAACTTTTGGAGTGACTCAAGAGTTGTTCTTTCACCCAATCTACAGTACTCGTCGGTCACGTTAGCTGAGCATCCCCATGCGAGCATACGAAAGACAGCGGTTAACTTTTGCTCAGGGGATAGCCCTTGTCGGCCGAGCCCGTCTTTTTTTTGGCGTAAGTATGGCTCGTGGTTGACAACATCATTCAAGATGCGGTAAAATAACTCTTTCCGCATTCAAAACAGCCTACGAAAGTCGGTAGCATTAAAATGTGGCCTTTCAACGAAGTAGTCGGACATGAGATTGCGATGGCGATCTTCCCTGTCACAGTTCTTGTACACACGACCGACTACCGACCCACCATGTTTGGTGGCTTCATTATCCTATGAAGTATGGTGGACAATGGCTTCAATCACTCTCTGATGATGTTCTTCAAATCATCATCAAACATAAAGGAAAAGATAGCCTTGCCACGGTTATCCATTGAAAACTTCAAATGATATGAAAAATATGAGAATGAAGGAGATGATGTGCTTGAAATGATATCAAAAGTATGAGAATAAAAGGAGATTGATGAGATTGACAAAGGAAAAATAAATTGAGAAATAGATAAAATGTTTTTGGTAGATTATTTGAGAAATGGATGAGTATTTATAGAGTTTGGAGTGAGTTTTGGGGTTGGATCTGACTTAGTTTAATTTAAAATATTATTTTGATCGTTGGATTTAAATTTCAGCCATTGGATCTTTTTTTTTTACCGTTAAAATAACTTAAATTTAATCTAGATCGTTAATTTACAGTTACTATTAGAAATTTTTTTTAATAAAAAAAACAGATTCTTTGAAGCCTAACAGCTCTTTGAGTTGGAAACACAGTGCGTGGGGGCCCCAACAATACTATTTGATTTTTATTTTTTTTTAAAGTAAACAGCCCAAGCCCAACGACTCATTGTTGTAGTGCTAACACGTGGCTTTAGCCACAACTCCAACCCATCAGAAAATGTCACTAGCACGGGTCCCACCAATTTTCAGAAGCACATGGGCTTTGCCACCTCAGCGTAGGGTCCAGTGAATAGTATTGGGTTCATGTAATACTTGGACCCATATTTGGGTCCAAATTTAGGTTTTCCCAAATTTTGGGTCATTCCTTTTCTTGGATTGGGAGAGGTTTGGGGGGATATTTTGGGTTTGAGTCCAAGGGTTGGAGATGGCCTAACACAACCTTAATCCACTGCAGTACAATGTAGCCCAAGCATAAACATGCAAATAACATGCAACACCAAGCGACTTCCTTTAATGCTAGACCACCTGACAAGCTTAAGTGGGGATTGCCGAGAGGTTGTGGTATGGATAGGTAAGAAGGTCCACAAGCCGCACGAGAACTATTGAATAATGGAGATTTTGGGATGCTTGGGAACATCGAAGTCCAAGCCCATTCTCCCATGTGGATGAGCAAATGATATATTCTTCAAGCTCTCCCTTTACCCACTAGAAACAAGTGATTTTCGACACTCCTACTTACCTGCTGGAAATAAGCATGTTCTGACACTTCCTTTCAACCATTAGAAACAAGTTTTTTCCAACGACTTCCTTTACTAGCTAGAAATAAGAATTTACTAGCGCTCTCTTTTATTCGCTGGAAACAAGACGTTTCCAACACCTCCTTTTACTTGTTAGAAAGAAATAAAGGAAATCCCTCACCCTCTATAAATTGGTGTCCATGACCCAGCAAAGGATCCTCCCTTAGGCTACTACACGCATCCTAGCAACCATCGACGCCTTCCTTAGCTATTGCAAGCATCCCAACAGCCATCAACCCACTTCTTCAGTCATCACACCTCTTTTCTAGCTGCTGCAAACACCCCAACCATAACCTCCTCAAACGTTTCCCTCATTTTCCTATCCTTGAAATCATTATTCCCCTTAAGCTTCACTTCAAGCATAATCCCAAGCTACCTATTCATCCTCCCACCTCTAGAACTCATAAATCTATTAAAAGTCTTCATCCTGTATGAGACTTTTTCTTCCTGCAGCTAATGGGCTGGGTTGCTGTAAAAGGGCGGACTGAGGAGACTGTCCCTTTTGCATGAGTTCGAAAATTAAGCCCTAAAATACCTCGAAAGGGTAGCAAAATCTTAGGAGATATTTTGGCTATCTTCACTGATCAGAATAATGGTAACTTACAGATGATTTTGGCATGCTTTCATATAGTCTTTTAGCTCAGCATGAGTGCCATGTGGCATGGGAGCAAAACCAACATAAGTTTAGCACTAAGAGAGAGGTTAGACTTGGTTTATGAGAAAAGAAAGTACTAAAGTAAGGAATTAGGTGTTTTGTGAGGAATTTTGCCTGGGGAAAGAGGAAAAAGAAAGGCAGAGTTCTTCTGGCAGCTGCAAGAAAAACAAATTGGAGAAGAAGGTGAACAGTGCACGAGGTAGTTAGATTTTTGCAAGTTAGAGAGAAAGTTTGCTCCCTGAATTTGAGTTGCCTCTGTTGGGTAGGGGAAGCCTCAATTTATAGCTGCTGGAAATCACCATTCTTCAAGAAACCCTAATGGCTTCTACTTATTTTGGCTAAGCTTTTTCCTCATTTCTCCTCATCTTCTCTGACTTCCCTATCTTGGCAAAAATTGCCTCTGTTTATTTGCTCGAATTCAGGAGATTTGGGAGATCAATGTCCCCATTTCCCGCAGCTACGCAGTGAGAGCTTCCCTTCTTGGTTACTGTTTTTTCTTCTTTCCTTCCCCATGCCTTGGCTAAATCTGATGAAGGAAAGGAAGTGAAAATATATGCTGGTCCAAGGGGTGCTTTTGATAGCGTGCAAGCCAGCATTCCTTGGTTCTTTGGGCGTCTTTGGGTTGGAACTTGCTCACAGCAGCTTTGCTTGATGAGTCTGCCAACCTCCTCCTTCACATGTTTTTTGTTTTTCAAAAGAGCTGAAGCTTTTGTGGGCTATTTTGGGATTTTATAAGGGCCAAGGTGGTTTCCTAAGCAAATGGGCTTTTTGTGAAACATTGGGCCTCTTGATTGGGCTTATTTTTTTTTGGTTGGGTTATTTCTTGGTTAGGTTATTTTGCTTGGGCTTTTGGGCTACTTTTCTCTCTTGTGCTTACCCACATGTTTGGGCCTAAGAAATGGGCTTGAGTCTCGAGGCTCCCAAGCAACCCGAGACTTTCCATTTTTCTGGCCCATCAATGGGCCTCATATTGATTTATTACCGTCCATACCACAACCCACTCAAGCAAGCCCCGGTTTTTTGAGTGGCTTGGGCCCACTTAAGCTTGTAGTGTGGTTGGGTGTGCGATAACGATTTCGTGCTTGACATGGCACATTGCTTGGCATGTTTTAATTTATCGTCTTGCAATGCTTATTTTTTGCATGGGCCTGTAGACCCGGTATATTTTATCTCAACCTTGAGCCAATTTATCTATTTAGCGTGGCACGTGAACTGTAATTTGCATGTGGTGGGTTTCGGTGCACTCTGCTTTACGCTTTTTCCTAATGGATCATCGTTTTGGGTTGATAATTTATTCAGGTCCAACCATGTATTTTTTTGGGTCTCAACACATCCTATACTTAACCATAGCCAACACCAATCAAAGAACAAGTTGTGTTCATTGATTTTGTATGATACAATTAGATGTTGAAACGGTTTTCGATTTGTCTAATTTTTTTGCAAGGATGATCTATGAATATAGACTTTAAAAAAAATGGTTTCTGTTGAGAGAAAGGGAATATATATATATGCATATAAATATATATTTTTCTCACACTAATATTGGCATGTTAGCATCTCCGATTAAACTATGGTGCCATTACTTCTAATTTTGTTAGGCTGCATACCTTCATCTTAATGCCCCACATGGCCATTTGAATTTCTTCGTGCCTGCAAGGCCATTTTGATGACTTTGGCCGCAAGGCCACCTAGCTAGCCTTTTATTTATTTATTTTAATAATTGTTTTTGTGCATGCAGTTTTGACCAATTTGGCTCAAAAGGCTATTTTTTATGATCATGAGGTCATTTAACCCAGCATGGCTGTAAGGCCAAATTATATATATATATATAATAATAATAATAATAATAATAATTGAATATCACAAACAACTTTGCAGATTACTAATCTCCCGCCTTCTTGTCACTCTTCAATGTCTCCCAAACAAGTAAGAGAGTACAACATCATCTTGGTTGACGCCCTTAATGAAGATGAGGCTGCTTTCTCCAACATTTTTTATGATTTTCCCATGCTAGCTACCCAGCACAACATGGTCCTTGATCGATTTGAATTGTAATGGTCAGTTTAATTTGGTTTGGTTATAACAAAAAAAGAATTGAATTGATTAAAAAATGGTTTAAAAATAAAAAATAATTAGCAAGTAATGTTTTATTTTTTATTTTTAATTTTTTTTTTTTTTTTTTTTTTTTTTTTTTTTTGGCATTTTAAAAAAAGTTGAAAAATGAAAAAGAAAAAGAAATTGGGTTTGGGCCCAGATCAGATGAACAAATTGAACAATCATAAATTAGTTTGGTTAGATTTCATCTGCAATTTTTGTCAAAATCAAACTGAAATAAATTATTTTATTATAATTGGTTGGGTTAAAAAATTATAACAGACTATTGAACCAATTAGCATGATATTTAATACAAAACTCCTTATATAGTTGTTGAGGCCCAAAAAATCTAAGGCTATGCCCAAATATATTTCTAACCTAGTACGACACCTAACTTGTGAAGAAACCCAACTTGGGTACGCAAGATTTTGTCATATGCGCTTGCACATGTGCCATGCCAAGCAAATACACAACACACCACGCAGAAAGGTCATAACAAGCCCATAAAATGTACTGGCTTTATGAATCCGCGCTTATTATCTTATCGAGTTCCATTTGGCCCGGCCATAGCATTTTACAATATGGCAAAGCTCAAGCTCAAGCACAAGCACACCAAATAACATGCGACACCAAGCGGAAAACCTTTATCTTGGTACCAAGCCACGTTACAAGCTTAAGTGGGCTCAAGCCACGCAAATGTCTAAGGCTTGTTAAGCATGTTGTGGTATGGATTGTAATATCCCACATCGACCAACAGAGAAGGGGTGATGTGCCTTATATGTCCATCTAGCACGAGGCCTTTGAAGTCATGAGAACTCCGAAGTTAAGTGCGTTTGGGATAGAGCAATCTTAGGATAGGTGACCCACTGGGAAGTTGCTCGTGAGTAGAAACAAAACCATGGTAGTAAGGGGGTCCAAAGCAGACAATATTGTGCTACGGCGAAGCCGATCCGAGGTGTGACATGGATGGTTATAAATATTCATGAGGCCTATTGATGGTCTAAGGAGCGGAAGTTGTGGGCTGCATGGGAGCACCAAAACTCAAGCCCATTTCTTAAGCCCAAACATATGGATAAGCATGAGAGAGAAAACCCAATATCTTAGAAAAATATCCAATGGCATACAATACTTGAAAATATCCCACATTAGTCAAAATATCCAGCACCTCGTCAAAACCAAAGCAAAATCCACGCAAATAGGTTGCTTCTAGCAGCTTGACGAAACTAAGGCAAACTTACAGGGCGCTGGAAATAAAACACCAACAACCCAACACCTTAGAAAATAGCCCAGCCGAGCACCTTATAAAATATCCAACATCGTGGAATTATTCCACATCCCTGTTAAAACCAGATCGAAGCCAAACCATCGTAAAAACCAAGCAAACCCATGTGCTAATGGAAGTAAATCACATTTTGGACCAGGACCCTTACCCATTCTTTCCTCTGCAAGCTCTGGTCGGAAAAGCAAGAGTCGTCTAACCCAGATGAAGGAGTCCAGCCGCATGAAAGTCTTGGAACCCAAAAGCTCTGCTCCTATGTACTTGGGTTGGGGAGATTTCACCAAAAAGGATTGAATGGAAGAAAGTGAAGAAAATGAAGGAGATGACTTGATAAAATTGAGGGCTTCTAGCGCCTATAAAAGGAGGCACATTCTATCCAGCAAAATAACTCACCCAGAGCGAGCAACATCCTTATTCATTGCTGGAAGTAGGGCTGGGCTCGGTTTGAGTTGGTTCGGTTTTGGGCTCAATCCGACACCGGATCGTAGGCTTCAGTTTGGCTATTTTGAAAACCGAAACCAAACCATAATTGATGAAAACTGACCACTTCGATTAATCGGACTTGGTGGTTTTGTTTGATTCGGTTTCGGTTTTTTGGCTCTTAGAGAGAGAGAGAGAGAGAGAAGAAGAAGAAGAAGAAGAAGAAGAAGAAATAAAAATGATGGAGAGGAGAAGAAGAAAAAAAAATAGGGAGAGAGGGAGTGAAGACAAATATAAGAAGAATGAGAAAAAAAAAATAGAGAGAGAGGGATTGATGAAGATAAGACAAACGGAGAGATTGAGAGAGAAGAAAAAGAAAAGATTGAAACTATGTATTATATATCTATATATTTCTTATAATAATATTATATATAATATTTTTTAATATCTTCGGTTTGATTTGGTTAAACCGTGGTTTTGAATATTGCAAACTGTACACCGAACCATATATTTCGGTTTGGTTTGGGTTTAAACCGATGACAAAAAAAAAATGAAAAAAAACCAAACCAACCCAACCCATCAATTTGGTTTGGGCGGTTTGGCCGGGTTTCGGGTCCAAATGCCCAGCCCTAGCTGGAAGCTTCAATTTCAAGCTTTGTTCTTCCATTTTTTTTCCTTTCTCTCCTATAAACTCATCTAGAGAGAGCAAACATCCCCTCTCACTATTGAAACCCTTCAATTTCGAGCTATGTTCTTCCATTTCTTCCATTTTTCTCTTCTAGCAAAACACTCAAGAATGTGACGAAGCTTTCGTCAAGCCACTGGTCAAGCCACCCATTCTTCCACCTTGCTCTGAACCTTTGTTTCCATAAGAAATCCAAGCTCTCTCTCTTTCTAATACTAAACTCATGAAGGCTCAGCTCCCGTGCCACAAGCTTCTCATGCCAAGCCATAATATTGATATGTAAAAATTGTCTATCTTGTTGTTGAGAGAAACCAAAGTGCTTCCTAAGGCTCCACGAGCTTTTTGAAGCACTTTGGGGCCCTGGTTCTTAAACTCAAGCAGAGGGGCAAGCATACTCTCCTACTGCTTGAAGCACCAGATTCAAGCTCTAGTTCTTCCAACTTCTCATTATATATATATATATATATCTCTATCATATCTCTTTCTCTCTCCTTCTCTCTATCATCTCTTTCTCTCTCTCTCCAACAACCCTATTCCAGATTTGAAACACATATCTTTGAAGCCAAGTTGAAATCATGGGCATTACCTTTTTGGTGAGAAATCCTAAGGTGCGACCAAGCATTCGTCAAGTTGCCGGAAGCCTAATCAAATTAGTAGCAGTTGCTAGAACATCTGTTCCACTATGTTTCAAGCAAACCCCTTCCAGCGTTTGCTCCACCTCTATCATCAAGCAATAGCTTTCACAATAGCTGATGTATCCTTCTCATCAAAACTTTCAATGTATTGAAGAGTTATTGAAGAAGACCAAAGCACTCCCTAAGGTTTCAACTCTTTCGGGGTGTTTTAGGGCCTGGTGCCGCAAACTCAAACAAGGGCGCAAGAGAGCTCGATTTACTTCGCAGTAGTCCAACAAGCCCATTGTAGCTCTCAACAAAAAAACCTAACAATAGTATATTGGCTTATTATCACAAAACATCCCTAAAGTTTACTGATGCAGGGCAGAGGCTATAAGCTGCTGTCCAGCGACCCAAACATACCCAAAATACAGAGAATAGAAGGATAAAGCAATAGAATCGAAGTTGAAACGAAGATAATTGAGTTCTAGGGCAAAATCCCAACAGAAACTCTATAAACTAACGTCTGAAATTATATTCATCAACAAAACTAAATACAAAAGTCTCTAAATAGCCTATTTATACTAAAATACACCAGCCAAGCATTCCCGTTCCTACTTTAATAAGAAACCCTAATTGACAAAGGAAATTAAAACCTAAACAGGAAATTAAACCAAATCCTAGTAAGAATAGGAAAACAAGTAATAAAATAACCTATTAATTTAATATAACTAAAACTTAGCCTTATTGGCTGATGCCCACTTAGATTAGGAAGTCTAATAGATGCTCTTGCATCATTTACGAAACTATCATATTGCATCCTTAATGTTTTCTTTTTTGTCATTTGTGATCCTCAAGGTTAGTATGCATGAACACAAATGGTCCTTGCCATTAGGTTCCGTCAAAAAACTCCGTTAGTTTGCTAACGCGGCATATATGTATATCACAAAACATCCTTGAGGTTCACACACCTACCTATCACAAATGGTCCTTACAAAATTTTCAAAAATTTTTCTTTTTAAAATGGTATGAAATTTTTTATGAATGATAATTATTTTAAAATATATATTAAATTTTAAATACATGTGACACTATATTATTGTAGTTGTGGGCTCCATGTATATGACACATCAACAAACTAATGAAGTTTTTTTAAAATAATTTAAAATTCATAAAATTTAAAAATGAAAAAAACTAAAGGTTTAGGGTTCATAAATGGTCCTTAAGATTAAAATCCTTCTATAAATGGTTTTTTTTCATTTGTAAATAATTTTAAAAAGAAAACCAAAATTTTTATGAATTTTAAGTTAAAAAATAAAAAAAATTCGTAAGGAACTATTTATGATAAGTGTGTAAACCTCAGGGATGTTTTATATATATATATATGTATGTCACGTCAGCAAACTAATAAAGTTTTTGACAGAACTTAACGGCAAAGATCATTTGTGATTGCACGTACTAACATTGAGGATCATAAGTGACACAAAAAAACATTAAGGATGCAATCTGATAGTTTCGTAAGCCTTAGGACGTTTTGTGATAATAAGCCTAGTATATTTGAACTAGCCATTTATCATTTTCTAATTAGTTTTTAGTGTGTTACAATTTTTTAACTTAAAAGAATATGGAATTTTTCTAAAATATTTGACTTGAAGGGCTTTTTTTTTATATAAAATGTCAAATTAGAATGGACCTATTTATGAAATGCCATATTTTTCCCCTTAAAATTTCGAAAGAGTGTTGCTATTTATACCCGTTCTCCTATTTCCCCCACCTTATCTTCGAAATTTTAAAGACAAATTTAGTCATTTATAAAATTACTTCTAAAGGGTATTTTAGGAATAATAATTAGTAGAAAGATAGCATTATATTTTTTCAAATTTAGGTCATAGAGAAATAGGACGTGTAGAAATCGCATCACTCTTTGGAAAACTGGTCACTAAACCGAACACAACCGGACAAACCCAGTTTCCGGTCAGTTTGATATATCAGAATCCATTGGTTCATTTAATCAAAAAATTAACACGTGGCAGCTTAATAGTTGGGGTCGTTCTAAGCTACCGTGTTCCCACCTCATGTAATCATACGAACCCACTCGATGTAATTACCATTGTCGCGCGCCGCCTCACTCTTTCATCTCTGGCTCTTTTTTTCCTCTTCTCAGTCGAACCCACGCGGCAAATCTACAAGCCTTCTGGTGAATCTTCGCACGCCGCTGCCGCCGACCCCGTTCTCCGGTAAACTCGTCGACCCGTTTTCGGCCTTCGGTTTTGTTTTGGGTCTCTATCTGACTTTTGCTTGGGCGATTTCAGAGATCTGCAGGCGACGCTTATCGGCGGTGGTTGCGAGTTGGATCGTCGTCGTGTGTTCACGATTCTGTTAGCCGTCGTGCGTGGGTCAGAGTCCGGCGACGTCCGGTGGTGAGTGTATATGTGCTTCTGTTTTCGTTTTATTTATTTATTTTCCTTATTTTTAATTGTTTTCTGTTTCCTGCCATTTTTGTTTCATAGGTCATAGATCTGCCTAGGTTATCTCGGTTCTTTGGGGTTTCGAGGTTTCTGGATTGAAGGGGTATGTTGGATTTCTGGATTTTTGTAATCTGCATACAATCATGGTGCTCGTAATTTTATAGGAAACTGTGCATGGTTTCTGGAATTGTGTAACCTGCATGCTTGGAAATTCTGTTTCTGTTAAGTTTTGAGGATTCTAATTTGGTGAGAAGCTGATATATGCGTAGATCCCTAATTTGAGTCTGATGCTATGGGTACAATATGCTATAGTGTTCCCCTGTTCTAACTTTCACACCTACAGCAGTCTGAGTTTTTCTATTTCATCATACACCGAGACCATCGCACTCTCTTTCCCACTCCCTCCTGCTACCTCCCTTGCTCTCTCTCTCTCTCTCGTGATTTGGGCTCTCATATCATCTTTGGCGTTTTGAAACATGAAAGGAGCCCTAATTTAAGCGAAGTCCTAACTGGTTAGTTAAAGAAAATTGTGGGTTTTTTCTTTTCAATGATATTGCCTACCATATTATTCTCAATGCTTAGACATATAGAAGCTAATGAATCAAGATTATTGATATGAAGCATCAAAATCACTTTCTTTGGTTGTGCCAAAACTTGAAAACCATAAAAGACTGCTAGTTCTATTTGCATTCTGGCCAATGTCATTGCCCCCTTTCCCTTATTACCCTCTCCAAACCATACTTAATAAATCTAATGTTCAGCTCGTTTATACTTTCATGCCTTCAAGTAAAACTCAATTGTAAAAAAGGCTTCATTTTGTCAATATTTTTGGTTACTTTTTTCTTGTTTGCTTTATAAGTTTATCTTGTTTAGTGTTGCTCTAATGTTAAGGTTGGTTGAACATGGTTTTGCCTATGAATTGAGAGATTGTTTAAGTAGTTTGGGGATAGAGATTTTTATTAAAATAGCATGCTGTAGTTGATAATGTTCTGAGCTAATCTATAATGCAACTTTGTTTAATTTAATACTGCACCCTGGGCTTGCATCAGTTTAAAGAAAATTTCTGTCTACATTGGTTTATTTGGTTGTTGATTATTGAGTTGATTTTATATAATGCTCGTGATTTTTTGTACGGTGCACATGCACGTATATCTGTAATTGTCTGTTTGCCTTCATGTGCCTTGAGTAATTACATGGATTTTGTTTTTCTTTTGCAAGGAAAATCAATGCACATGTTTTTTTTTCTATTGCTGCGCTTTGATAGAATTTCCCTGAAGTTTGTGCTGTCTTCACCATTCATGATATTTGAAGCCATGTAGATCCTTTTTTTTTTGGTGGCATTAGAACTTATAGAATCCTGATTCCTGGCTCAAACTTCCTATGTTTCAATATTTATTTTACTTCTTGTATCACCATCTTTACTTGTTGAGATATACCACTCATCTGATTTGCTTTACTATAATAGTATCAATTAAACAGCTTTCGAGTTCTTTTTAATAGGTCAGAGGTTGCTACTGAGGATGATTACGCAACCAACTGTCAATCCTAAATCTTCTGCTAACGGTTTTGGCCGTCGAAGAGGTGAAAGAGAAGGGGGAGCTAGGGTGGAGAATAAGTCACAGTCTGGAAAAGCAAACCACAGCAGATCAACTAATACTGGTGAACTTCATAGATATAAAATTTTCTGGATATAACATTAACCTGACCTCTAACTATATACCTGTTCAAACAGGCACCAAATCTGGCAACTATGAGAGTCCTTCACGTGATCGATTAGTGTATTTAACCACGTGTCTTATTGGGCACCATGTGGAAGTCCAGGTGAAAAATGGATCCATATATTCTGGAATCTTTCATGCAACAAACGCTGAAAAAGACTTTGGTATGTTCTGTTGATTTGTGCTTTTTGTATGGTTTTTGTATTTTTTTGTTTGGTTCTCGTGTGTTTGTATTAATTGTGGTGTTACATTAGCATATGTTTCAAATTTTTTAGAGATCAGGAATTTGTCACTAGTGTTGTAAATTGCTATTTTTTTTATATGCAATTAAGTGCATTAATGAACATGCACTTGTTGTCACTTTCAGGAATTATCTTTAAAATGGCTTTTTTGTTTGTGTTGATTTTGGTGTGCTTAAAGAGAATATGTTTAACACTAGCATATATTTTGGTTTGGTGAGAGGTCATGGATTCATTCATTAGTGTTATATTTGTTTTTTTTTATAAAAATTTTATAAGAGCACTTTTTTTGCAAATTGCTTTGTTTTTTCCTCACATTATTGCTCCATGCTGTTTTTTTTATGTGCTTATCAACATTCTATTGGTTGTCACTTTCAGGAATCATCTTGAAAATGGCACGCATGATAAAGGATGGTTCCTTACGTGGACAGAAGTCTGTGGTAGAGTCAGTTAGCAAGCCTCCTTCAAAGACTTTTATAATACCTGCCAAAGACCTTGTGCAAGTTATCGCAAAGGTATGCTCCATTTCCTATGCAATGCAATTATCTGAGGCAAGTAAAATTATTATTAGTAGCATTCACATTAGCTCCATTCCGTTCTGCTGGGTGAAATTAATTTCAAGCGATTGGCCTTTTTTTTTAGGGGGAAGGGGTGGTTATCTTTTTCTTGTTGTTTTGATACTCTCCCTCTGCTAAGTAGCCTATTAAAATTAATAACAACTACAAAGATGTGGATGAGGCAGTTATAAAGAGTTTGATGTTGTAGACTACGCAGCAATTTCTATACTTTGTTTCTCTTGTCACTTGTGATCTAATTGCATTTTTAAATGAATGATGACAGGATGTCTCAATAAGTAGGGATGGATTGTTAAATGAGGTTCAGCCTGAAAAACATCATGAAATTATGATAGATTCCTTCATATCACAATCCCGCCGTGGTGAAATGGAGAGAGAGCTGGAACCGTGGGTCCCTGATGAAGATGATCCACAATGTCCTGAACTGGAAAATACATTTGATGGACATTGGAATAGGTTGTTATAGTAACTTTCTTTCCCCAAATCTCTTGGTAATTGCTCTACTGTTCAAATAACTGCTCTACATGAATAGGTGCCTTCAGGACACTATTGTTTCTACTGGTAACCTGACCTTTGTTTCTTTATGCATGTTTATTACATATTTCCCATTAAACTGGTTTATTTGGCTTTAACTATTTAAAGCTGTTATTAAATATTCCTATCTGGCTTATTCTTGTTTAGTTTGAGTCATAGCATGGTCTTTGAATTGTCATTTCTTTGGAGTTATTACTAGTGAGAGAACCCTAAAATGTTATTAACTTATTCTGAAGGGGGGTGCAATTGTTGAGTGATTAAAAGTGCTGTGCTGGAACCATTCTCAATTTGTGATGGCTAGCATTATTTGCAATCTTGGCGTTTCATTATACATATCTGAAGATAATTATGTTTTTGTTTGCCCGCATGGTGCTGCAATTTATTGGTAGTGTGGGTCCTTAAAAGGGGAATGCCCTGTGTTTGTTTTGTATGTTACCAGAATTCGTCGTATGATTCAGTTTACTGAGAAAAGTGGATGATGTAGACAGAGAAAGGTGAACAAAGTAGATATTCCAATCAATTTACTAGTTAGAGTTAGTGATGTGGTTTTAGTAGATGGATTAATGGTATCGAAATTTTGCCTCAGCTGATGCAAGTTAGACATGAATGTAGGGAATATAAAGGCGTTAGAGTAAGATGGCACTAGAGGATTTTCAAGCCAATTTCCAATGGTTGCATATTGTATCTTGAATTTAATTGACCTGTGCTTCACTTTTAGAGAATTTCTACATAATTTTTGGGTATATAAATATTCTGATTTCTCAATATTTTCCATATATTATTTTCTTTTCAGGAACTGGGATCAATTTGAAACAAATGAAACATTATTTGGGGTAAAGAGCACATTTGATGAGGATCTTTATACAACGAAACTTGAAAAAGGTCCACAAATGAGAGAGCTGGAAAGGGAGGCTTTAAGAATAGCAAGAGAAATTGAGGGAGAGGAGACACATGATCTACATTCAGCAGAGGTGAGGCTTGGTTGATATATTTTATGCTTTTGTACTTTGTTCTCCGTGTCCCTTATATTTTGCATGCTGATTTGTTTTTACAGGAAAGAGGCATTCACCTCCATGAAAATTTTGATATTGATGAGGAGACAAGATTCTCCTCTGTTTACCGGGGTGAGGTTGATGATAGTGGATATGATGAGGATGAGGATATTTTGTTGGATGCACGTAATACTGATACCTTTGGAGATTCTTCTGGTTCTTCAAGGAAGGGTTCCCTTGAATGGACTGGTGGAAAAATCAACAATGGAGCTCAAGTGCCATCAAGCTCTTCATCTGTGGTATTTCCTTTGTTAATATCCCTTCTGTATATTTTAGTTGGTGTAGTTAGCCGAGTATGGTGGGATTAGTTTTTAATCTATTTAGTGATTATTTTTTTTGAGCTGGTTTGTTTTGTCTAGTAGGAATTTTAGGTATATGCTATTAATAAAGTGGTTTGTTACTGAAGTGGGGGATGTACTCGTCCTAGTGTTTCATTACTTATGTGATGAGTGTGTAGGTATATGCTCACCCTTTACCGTTCATAAATGGATATTTTTCCAGAGGTTATTGAGTTCTTTGGTTATCCTATATTCTGGTTGAATAAAGTCATTTGTTGAAACATTTCTCCGTAATTGTTCCATTTGTGAGTAATTTAAGTGCTGAGAATCTAATATGACAAATATGGGAAAGCTCTGCGTGGTTATAATGTCATCATCATTGCTTTGATGGGTGTTGAAGTCATTGGTATGGTCCAAAGTCTAATATATAATACGGGGGCTTGTCAACCAATTCTCTGTTTTGTGCTTCTATGTGAATTTTATGATTTCCTTTGACAAGTCCTGATTAAATGCTAATGGTATATGTATATCTCTCTTATGTTGCTTCACAGGATTACACACAATGTACTGAGTTGAATGTTGCCCCAGATTTATGTCGCTCTGGAACTTATGACCACGCTAGACAGCTGGCATCAGAACCACCGTTCAAAAGTTTCCCCAGTACAGCTGGTGAAAGCAGGTTTCTGATTTTTTTTTTCTTTCTAAATAATTTCTTGTATCCTTGCAAGTAAAATAAGTTTTCATGTCATTACACAAACATTTTTTTGCTGATTAAACAGTGTGCTATATTATTCAGTGAACCTGGAGAGAGAGATAGTGCTACTGAGTCTGTAGAAAAGCGGATGGTGAGTGATGGTTCCGTATCTATGATTTGTAAAATCTTTGTGGTGCCTTGTATGATTTTTTCTGTGGTTCACTGGCCTCTGAAATTAGTTTTTCTGTTTTATGTTCTTGTCAATGCAGCTAGCTGAGGACAATCAAAAGTCAAAACCTGATGGTGAGTGCCATTTATTTTTTCTTCCTGCTATTTTTCTCCTGGAGTTTGAATCTCTTTCTTCCTCAGACACTTAAGTAGGTGGTTAAGTTTAGATGCAGTTTTCTGAAGCTCAACTTTGTTCTATCTTGTGGCTTTTTTCTCTCTTCACCCAAAGCTTGGGAAGCTTGCTTCAGTGCCATTTTTAGCATTGTCTTCTAATATTTTTTCATTACACTGGTCACGAAGTTAATTTGTTGTTTATGGGAGGTAGATTCGCAGCCACTGCTGAATGAGAAGAAAGATGCGTTTGATAAAGGGGTATTATCCCCAAATGCCACCTCTTATGCTCCAGCTCCGGCTTCATCAAAAGGTTATGAGAAGAGTTCTAGTGAGATATTAGAGGGTCCAGTGGCTGGAAAAGCACATGTTCAAACACACACTGTAAATTCTCATGGACGGCCTGGTAGTTCTGCATCTTCCAATTCAGAACGTGCAACTGCTGCACCGACTTCTGGAGGCCCTGGTTTGTCACCAAGCTCATCATTGGGTTCATTGTCTTCAGAAAAGTCTACATTGAATCCCCATGCTAAGGTATGATTGATACACCTTTATGTTTTTCACGACCACAAAGTCAGACATAAATGTACTCTTTTCTATTAATCATATGCCTGAAGTGCCAACAGCTATCGTTACTACTATTGTTATTAATATTACACATATGATCTCTTGCTATGTACCCAGTTCTATTTTATCTCTGTATTCATATGCTAGCAACTAGCTGATGCAACAAGTCTTTTTTTTCATTTTAAATTTAAATATTGTTATCAGGAATTCAAACTCAATCCAAATGCAAAGAGTTTTGTTCCATCTCAAGCGCCTGTTAGGCCTCCATCCCCGGTGTCTGATGGTTCCTTCTATTATCCATCAAACGCTCCCGCTGTACCACATATGCCGGGCATGCCTGTTGGCATTGGAGTAAGTACCTAATCATATTCATTTACCCTTTTCTCCCCCTCTTGTTTGTCTGTTTCTTTTATGTATTAGATGCTGTTCTGTATGGAGTTTTGTGCTAAACAATCCAAAATTCACTTCCATGCCTCTCACCTAGACGTAGTTCCATAAGAAAGAGAAATGTTTTCCTTCTGCATCACTACCCCTCCCGCCAACCCCCACACCCCCACAAAAAAAACAATTTTTTATAAATTTTTATCATGCATACATTATTGATTTTGATATTTTGAATTGCCTTCCATTTGCTTTTTCGTTTTGTATAGATAAATTTTCTTTCAGCTTGTTATTTATTAATGTCCATGAAATTTGCAGGTTGGACCGTCTTTCACACACCAGCCTGTTATGTTTAGTCAACAGCAAATGCAAGCACCCCAAGCATATTTTCATCCAAATGGGCCTCAGGTGCAATTCTTTTTTGACTTTGCTTTCAAGGTCATGTGAAATTTTTTGTACTTGCACAATTTGAATGTCTGACATTAATTACATTTCTTCATTTAATTGCAGTATGGGCAACAGATGCTTCTTGGCCACCCTAGGCAAGTCCTATACATGCCAAGCTACCAACCTGTAAGCAATTTTTATGTTCTGATGTAATGTAGTTTAATTCATCTAGAATTTTTCTTTTGTAATGTTTATATAAAAAAAAATATAGTTATGTGCTATTCCTGTAACTGTCTTTATGTCCACTGGAGGCATATTCTGTGATAAGATTACTGTTACTTTTCTGGGTCAAAACTCTTGTAGAATGATTTTTTTAGTTGTTCATGTATTCTGTATTCGATTTGTCTTTACAGGAGATGCCATACAAAGGACGAGACTATTAACTCTCTGTTGGACGAATGCGCTTTGGTTGATCCGGCTGCTGCACCTAAAGAATAACTCCTTGGAGTCTTCTGGGAACAATTTTTCGAGGAGCAGAGCCCTCCTCTCCAAAAAGATCCCTACATTGTTCTTGAATCTTTTGTGTGCCAAGGAAAGCTTACTCCTTCCCAGATATACCTCATGACCGACCTATGCTTTAACCCGTATGATTGACACTGGATTTATCAATTTCATACTGTAAATTATTACCCGTGTCTCTTAAAAAATATAATTTATCCAAACATTTATATTTTATGGATTTTTTTTTTCGTTTGGGATATACTGATTAATTCACAGTTAACAATTTGTCAAATTTATGTTGTCCAGCATGCATGCCATACGCATTCATGTTGGAGTGGGTTGGGTATGTTATTTGATTGATCAAGGATTTGGTGCCTTTAACGTTCGATGAACACAGATTCGGAATAATTGCCGTGGATGATCAGATTTTATTAATAATATTTGCAAATGATTAAGATGTAACTCCAGATTAACGAGTTATAACGTTGGTGTGTGATAATCTACTTGTTTAAGAGGGAGGGCTGGTTAATTCATTTCTCCAAGTCTCCTTTAGTTGAGTAAATTTTATTTTTTGGGTGAGTGAAATAATCAATTCTTGAACTGGTCTCTTCTTTAAATGAAACTCGTCATTCCAAATACTATCATTCTATATAGGTTTAAATTAAAATGCTTTTATCAAGATGCCCGCAGACTATCTCTTTGAAAGCTTATGAGAGAATCATTAAATATCATTTATGCAAATGGTGGGTTTTGACAATAATTTTAATTTTAATTTTTTAATGATTTGATACCTATCCATAGTGGGAAGGGTTCTACGGTGCCCTTCTAAGCTTCAAGGGACTTGATCAAGAGCATCTATAATTATACTCTCTATTTTTTTAGTTACAATTTAGCTAAAAACATACAAAAGCTATTTTATAAACTCCCTATAAATTTTTAACTCCAATCATATTTTCTAGTTTAGGGACTCATAAATGTTGTAACTCTTTTTTAATTGGTCAATCTCTATAAAACAAAATAATATAAAAAATAGTTAGCATTAATTAAAGATTTAAAATACTCATAAAACAAAGCATCATTAAATTATAGGGAACCACTAGAAGTTTTTTCTCTCTCTTGAAATTTGGGAGCTCTTAGAGGTCTTCCTACTTTAGGAGGTAGATAGAAAGCATGGTTGGAGTTCTATTTTTTCAAATCCTCCCTAAAATTTGTCTAAGGAGGTTGCTTAGGGAGCCCATTGTTAATGCTCTTAGACTTCATCATACAATCAATTATTTTGATGTCTTCTATCCTTAAAAGCTTATGACTTGACTTAAGCTAGGTGAAAGCACCTAGCAAACTCAACTAAGTTTATGAAATTATGAGAGAAAAAACATAAAACTCAAAGAGTTTGTGGACTTATTGACTAAAAATCTAAAACAAGGCCAACAAAAGGAAGAACAATCACTGCTAATCTTCATGCGGGACATGACATAGAGAGTGTCACATAGTCACTCCACGGCCCCAACACGCTAATCAATAGCATGTCTATCATGACCAAGTAGAACACCTCAAAGAGCAGCTCCGCAAAATGTGGCACATCCAACATCCAAAGACAACCCAAATTCATGGTAGAGCTAATAGATATGCCAAAGGAAGACCATATCGGCATAGATGCGTCAAAAATCATAGAACGTTGAGGATTCGTGAAGCTTTCTCTTTCTCTTAGTCGGCTATTGTAAAGAAACTTAGGGGGATTTTGGGCTTGTTGTGCTACGAAAATAATTACTTTCAGATTTGTTGTAAGAGAAATCAGATGTCAATGAAAGTAGTTTGGCTTTTTGTAGACTTTATATTAAAAGTGATTTTGATACAAAAATCAATTTAAGAGTGTTTGGTAAATGTTTGTGTAAAACAACAGTAAGCTGTGTATAATGACTAAAAAGAAAATGATGTTGAAATAATTTTTTTTATTCAAGTGTTTAGTATTATATATAAAAATAAAAATAAAAACAGTCTCACTTTTTTTTTGGCCAAAACATTGTCACTTTCAAGTATGCAAATTTTTTATTAAATATTGTTGTTGAGATACACCTTGAAGAAAATAGGACAATTCTTCCTTCCTTACCCATAAGGAGGAACACCTCCTTACCTTCTATTGTGGCTCAACCACAAAGTAACATGTGTCATCTTTTTTTTAATTGTAAAAAGAAAACATATTTTTCACTTTTACTGAATCCCTAACTTTTTACCAAAAAAAAGGAAAAAAAAATCCCCATTAATTTTTTTTTTCACTTTGATTTTTCTCAACCATTTTAAAAATAATAATTTTCCTTCCTCAATCAAAATTTTAAGGGCCCGTCCGGTAACATTTTCAAAGAATGCTTTCTTAGAATATTTTCAGAGAATGAAAACAAGAAAACAAATTTGCATTTTCAGGAAATGAAAATGCGTCTGGTAGATTAATTAGAAAACATTTTCAGAAAACAAAAACAATGAAAACGTGTCTGGTAGTACAATTTGAAATAATAGTAATATGTGAGTTATTTTTATGAAAACGTTTCTCATGAGAATGAAAACTTTTTACAAAGGAACTTGTTTTCATTTCATGAAAACATTCTTAGAGTTTTATGTTTTTGAGCCACTGAACTTGTTTTTGCCTCATTTTGTTCTCTCAAAATGAAAACAACCCCTTAAAACATTACCGAACGGGGCAGACATTATTATTGACCAAAGCTTATCTAATTAGAAACCATGTTTAATATTTGAAGATAGAAAAAAAAAATGAATTCACAAAATTTAGGTTTTCCAAGATTTCCCGGCAAAAACAAACGCAACCAAAGCATTTGCGTTTCAGAATGCATAATTTGGATGGCCAGAGCTATGTATTGGTGAAAATCAACCTAGTATTCACCAAATACCAATAGTTTTATTAATTAATTAATTCTAATTTTTTTAATAAAACACTTTCAATTTGCAAATACAAGACCCGAAGAGCGGGTCAAAATAATTGTATTAACCACAAGAACCCCTTAATGTACGTCCTCTAATATTCCCTTATAAAAGGGTGCCCTCTCTCCTCTGAATTGATCTCCAACAAAGAAAGAACTCAATAAGCAGAAAATTAATCAACAATGGATAAGTATTCTAGTACCATTGCCCTTGTTTCTGCCCTTTGCTTCTCGGCCCTCCTCGGTTTTGCTTGCTGTGAAAACCCAGATTCAATCTATGTTATTGGCCTGGTTTACTGTGACAACTGCCATGTCGGTTTTCCTACCACGTCTAGTAAGGTGATCGAAGGTAAGGATAATGCATGCATGTTAATTTATGATAATTTATTAACATTTTGTTAGTAAATCACTTATTAGAGCCTCGTTGGTTCCCGAATTGAAGACCGAAGAGAATGTGCATCAGATTGCATTCTCATGTTTCATAAGCGTACATTCCTGAAAGCATTACATAGGTATTATATCCAAGTAGGAGACATGTATAGAGTGTTTGTCCATAAGCAAGGGCAGATTCATACATTTTTAAAGGGGCAGGCTAGGCAATATAAATATATTTCTTAAATATTTAAGGAGTTGCTGTGGTGCAGTACTTGGACTAAGTTTTTTTTAATTCTCATCCTTTCGAAATGAGCATGAGACTTGCATTCCGCAAATCGAACGGGCTTTGGGACGATAAATCTCATGCACGTACGTACGTACACACACATATGCATTTCAGGCGCAGAGGTACACCTGGAATGCAGCGACAAGAAGGGCGGAGCACCAACATACAGGGAATGGAAGAAGACTAATTCTGAAGGAATGTACGAATTCGAAGTGACGAAGAAAGTAAATGTGAACAGCCACTGTGAAATCATTGCTTTCGAGAGCAACCTTGATGACTGCAGAAACATTGTCCACGACGACGCTAGCCAGGAGCTGAAGCTAAAATTCACCAAGCCTAGCCCGAATGATAAACGGGTCGTCGCCTTCGGGAACAAGCGCTTTGCTGCCCCGATTTCCTTTCAACCCGATCAGCCTCTTCAAAACTGCGCTGAGCACCACAACGAAGAAGAACATGACAAGGAGGAGGAGGGTGATCCGCGGCACAAGCATGAAGAAGAACATAATGACGAGGGGGATGCTCCTCAGCACCAACATGAAGATGAACATGAACATGAGGAGGCCCATTAATATTATTAATTCACATAAATTGGCACCCTTCGTTTTTTTTTTGGTTTTTTTGAAATTCAGCGATCTATATTATGGGTTTTGTTGGTTTTGTATAATTTAGTTCCCCAAGACAGTTTTTGGCAATGTAGTTTTACATAATTTTTTAGCTCTCTATCTAGTTTATAAGAAACTATGCAAATATTATCTATTCTATAAAATAAATCAAGAACCTAGTTTGGAGTATTTATTCTCTCAAGTATGGTAATGGGTTCAAGTCCTAACATATATATAGTGTGTGTAAGTTTAGTAATTATCGCTCTTATCAATAGAAAAGGTCCTTAAAAAAACATATTTCAAGAAGAACGTCAAATAGACCAAAGTGATAATCAAATTGTAAATTATGGTTCAATTTGGTTTGATTTAAAATTTGACTATTTTAGAGTAAAAAGCGAACAACTATGTCTAAATAACTTAATTGGACATTGATTGCCTCCGCCTTTTTTTTTTTTTTTTTTTTTTTTTTTTTTTTTTTTTTTCACCACAAGATTAGAATATAGGCCTCATATTTTAAAATTCTTTTTGGCTATGAGGATTTTGGTGTGTTACCTACTTAGGATTCATATCATGTGCTGATCTTTTTGTGTATCTTGTACCAATGTCTAAAAACCACGTCGTTTCGACTGCAGCACGACTGATTTCAATGGGCCAGGCCAACCCATCACACAATTGAAGCAAAGGTCCGTGAGGAAATAATAAATTAATAATTAAAGGATAAAAGATGGAAAAAGAAAGGCCAGAAGTCATAGCTCCCAACGGTCGAAATTTTAAAATTCCTACCGACTGTTTTCAGGCGTTACAAATCCCTGTAGCTCCTTCTTAAACCCCCACCGCTGCAAAACCAGCCTCTGTCTCATTCTGTCAAAATTTCAATATTCCATTCAAAATCTCAGCGGAATTTCTCTGAATCCGAGCAAATCTGCCTAAATTTTCTCAGATTTTTCATTTTCCTCACAAATCCAATTCAATTCTTGCTTTACATAATCCAATTTCTAACCCTGTTTATTTATTCATAATTTTTTCGCAGGTTCCTTATGGACCCAGAAAACATTGATTGGGGCAGCATAGAATCTGTGTTCGTCGAAGATGAGACGTACGAGAACTTCGAAGCGCCTAAATGGGTCGACCTCTCCAGCCCAGATGAGCTCATTGGCGATGAAGCCTGGTTCTGCAGTCCTGGTAGGACCCACTTTTTCATTACTCCATTTTATCTGTTTACAGAATATTCATTTTTTCGGGGTCAAAACTCTGCTTTGTTTACATTCACTTTGTGACTTGCAGATTGCAACCATCCGAAGGCGACTGAGGATTTTCTCAAATCAGCACGTAATCTAAAGGTGGTAATTGTTTTTCTGATATCACAACAGATAAATTTTTTTAATTGTTTTTATTATAATAATCAACTTCTGCAAAGTTTGCTGAATGATCCCTTTTTTTCTTGTTCCAGGTGAAGCTTCTAAGATCTTTATCCATTTCTGAAATCCTTCCTTTTAGGGAAAGGAATCGAAGGTAGAATTACGAAATCCTTTATATGTCTGTTTGGTTTCGAAGAAAGTTTTGGAAAAGAAATGAGCTTGATGAGCAAATTCTTGTCAATATCTGCATCTTTCTTATCAGAGATGTGAAGGTAAAAGGGGTAGAAATCAAACCACCTTTAGCTGCAGCAGAGTTTCCAGAGATGAAGACCGAAAATTCGAATTCTTTATGCAATGTGTATGAAGAGAGTGAGAACAAGAATCCCAATTTCCCACCTCCGGTTCCACTTTCGAAAACCAAAACAACGAAGGCTCCAATGAATCCGAGCAATGTGAAGAAGAAAGCGGTGGATGAATCGTCTCATGGTTCGTCAAATTTTGGTAGGAAACCGCAGCTAAAGAGTACTTTCTCCGCCAGTAATTTACTTGGAGGGCGGGCAATGTTGAATCAAATCACGGAATTTTGTGTGGAATTGAAGAAATTGGCAAGACGGGGTTCGAGAAAAGGTGGATCATCAGAGAGAGTTGGTTTGAAGGAGAGGGTTAGAGAGAGGATCCCTCTGATTGTTAGAGAAGGGAAGGTCTAAGAAATGGAACAGAGTAAAACAGAAGGGGAAGCAATGGAACAGGGGAAAACAGAGGAAGCTAGAGAAGGCCAAGTCTAACCAATCATTACACTATAGTTATCATCTAATTCAAGATGTAAATTGAAATTGCATTTGGAGTGCATACATATGATTATTATTTTTTTAAAATTTTTTTAAATTTTTTTTTTTATTATCGCTATGATAACAGGATATGAAGGTTACACAATTTTTCCAGCCAAGAAAAAAAAGAGCGTTTATGAGGTGCTTGTTTATCGTATCCCCTTTCCTCAATATCGTTTGTATAGTCAACGGGATCTAATCTAGTAGAAACGGGTATTGATTTGCAGACTAGTGGTATCAAGTTCGAACTCCAATAGCACCGTGGTGTGTGTGTATGTGAGAACCCCCTCCCCTTGTAGTTCAAACTAGAGTGCTGTTAAATGAATTCAAAAATTAACTAAGTACACCCTACTACCAAAGTATTTATTGAATTATTAATTTATCCTTATATAAAATAACTAAAAATAAATATCAAATTGTGAAACAAATATAATTTTAATAAGTACACATCACCCTTAAAGTATTTGTGTTCGAATCCTCTCATCATATCTACATAAAATTTGATATGTTACAATCTCAGCTCCTTCTGATTAAATTCTCAGTCTAAATGTCAACAAATCAAATGGGCACAAATAAAACCCATAAAACCTTTATAAAATAAAATAAAATAAAAAACAGCAAAAACCGGGAATTTTGCACAGTATGATTTGTGATCTAACCCAAGTCAGAGACTTCCCACCAAACCCAATCCCAAAGCTTTGGGTTTCAGAAACTAGGTGGGAGAATTCGACTATCAAAGTGGTTGTAATGTAATTTAGTGCAAAATTATATATTGGAAAAAAAAAACCCTAATTTTGAAGAGAGAGAGAGCTAAGCAGGGGTACGTGGTATTGGGTTGATGGATGGTTTGGGTCTTCAAAAGCTCTGTGTGTCCTTTGAGTGAAGACTCTGATGGGAAAAGTCTCGAATGGATTTTGTGTTGTGTGATAGTGTATTAGGATGTATTGGGGGTATTTTTGGTAGTTAAATAGAATATACTTATTTAATTTTATATTTTGAATTAAATATTATGATGTACTGAGATTTTAGGACGTACTCAGTTAATTTTAAGATTTGTTTAGTAATTTTTGGTAATTAAATAGGGTATACTTAGTTAATTTTATATTTTAATTTAAATATTATGGTATACTAAGATTTTAGTGTACTCAGTTAATTTAGTATTGGTTTAGCAACACCATTAGACTATTGCTTGTACTAAAAAAATATCGCTTATAGAAAACCCAAAATATATATACTGCAAAAAACAGTGTACATTATTATGACTTGTGAGGCATTGGATACGAACACAATGGGCACAAGTGACAGTGTAAAGAACCAAAACAATGGACACGAGTGACAGGTCTCCAGCCACGGAACAAGGAAATTCTCGTGATAAAAGTGCAAGCATGGCAAACAAATAACTTGTACATATGGATGGTCCGAGCCAGGTCGAGTACCAATATACTTAAGCTTGGCTCGAACAATGATTTGGTGCATGCTTAAGGGTCATAAATTCATTTGAAAATATATCTTTTTCAGGTACTGTCCCCAATATATAAGGGAGATTCACTATCATACCAAATGTAGGAACCCAAATTATAAAAATACCATATATGAAGTGGGCTTTAGAAACACACCCAAAATCCATTTACAACATAACAAAGAGACTTTTAACTTCTTATAAATTACAAAATTGCTATCAATTTCTTAAAACAAGTCCAACCCCAAAACCTCATAAAAACCCTAAAATATTTAATAGGATATCAAAGTAATTTAATAATCAAACTTAAATTCAATAAGGTCAGCTGTCATTTTTTGAGTTTGTTTATATAAATTTAATGGTGTAGAGTTTATCTATAATATTAGTGCTAAGAATAAAAATGAATATATCATTAAATATCTCTATATATAAACACTAGGCCTGCCACAAGGCTTGTACTCTCAAGAATAAAAATGAACAGAAACTCTAGAGGTGGTCATTGACTTGCAATAAACAATGTTGTGGAATATGTAAAAAAATGTGATCGATGTCAACACTACAAGTTGATTCCAAATCTACCTACCGAAATTATATATCTTTTTGAGCCGAATTAATAAATAAAGTAGATTAGGAAGGGTTTGCATGTCGTTGCAGATGAACATGGACTTTGTCACCCAAAAAATAAAATATGTACTTCTTCTGCTTCAGATCTAATTGGCTCAATAGTCAATAGAGACAAAACCATGAAAATTTATTATTTGTTATATTCCCAGTTTGGAGGCAATGACCTACACACCTAAAGAGTTTGAAAGACACATGTGAACTAGAATATAAAATCCGTTTAAGTTATGAAAAGAAAGACGTAATCTATGCTTATAAGTAATGGGAATAAGAAAAAGATAATAATTTTTATTTTTGACTTCCTTGTGTTTTTTTACACATAAAGAATCATTTAATACACTGATCCCATAAGAAAAAGATAATAATTTTTATTTTTGACTTCCTTGTGTTTTTTTACACATAAAGAATCATTTAATACACTGATCCCATCTTAAAATCCTCAATTAAATTTTCGAAAAATCAGGAATTAGAACAATTAGGAAGGTTTTATTCTTAATTGATCTGGTTCCTATTCTTGGTTTATTTTGTTCACTTTCCTCTTGTTGCTATTACTTTGAAGTTAACATGCCAGAATGGTGGTCATCAAACTCCAAGGACTCGTCTAGGTTATGGCTTCAAACTTTGTTGGTTTGGAAATTATTGATATACATTGAAGTCTCATCAACAATCAATTACCTTGATATGAGTTTTGGTTGCATGCGTATGTGAGGATATAAATGCTCTTTCCATGAAATGTTAATCCCTATCTATGCAATGAAGATTTTAAAAGGGTGTCACTAGAGAAAATAGCCATTGCCAAAATTGAAAAGTTTAAAGAGAGGGTTTTAAATAAGATTTGTTAAGAAGTCAACCTAATTCAGACTAATAAATTCATAATACAATCACATTAAATTTTGGGGCCAAAGTTTCTTGGTGCCACTGCCATCAAAGAATACACTCATTGCGAATAGGGTCTAGCCGAGTGGAAAGGCCTTGATATGCATATCAAAGATCTCAAATTCGAACTCGCATAACATCTTATTGTATAAGTGTGAGAAACCCATTAAATTTAATGGGATTAAACTTAAACAAAGTACTTGTGGTACACTTTTTCCTCCCCTGAAATTTAATCCCATTAAATTTTCATTTAGGAAGATTTTATTGAGCCCACTCTTCTCCACGCCGGACATATTATTCTTGATGATTGATTAATGAATTCCCTTTTGATCTCGAAGTAAAATAAAATTCCAGCCCACACCCTTGCCCGTTTTGGCCTTTTCCCTTTTATAAAGCTTTTTATTTTGGTCGGTGCCCTTTTCTAAAGCTCGTAAGTTGTTACTAAACAAAAGATAAAAGACGTAAACGAGTACATTGACAGAAATGTCCATTTTGAACCCACCGGTTTCACTTACGAAATGAAAATGAAAAGGGCAATTACAGTCAATTTAACTGAATTGTGCCAAATCATTCTGTTGTATTGGGTACAAACTTTGCAGGCAGAACCTTGGCGGCTTTTGTATTATGTCCAAATCAGACCGGCCCCTCTCTCTCTCCATCATATATATAATTATGTCCGAATCTCGAAAATTATTGCTTCAATTTTTATATTCTGGGTATCGCTGGAATCTCAGAAGAGAAGGGCAAGAAGTTGTTCAATTGGGTCTGTTCTCTCTCTCTTTTAAATCTCAACCCTCCATTGAATTATTCTCCTGAGTTCTATCTTTTTGTTTTGCCTTATAATCCTCTGTTTCATGCTCCATGGTTCAGGTTCTGTTTCTGCAACATTTGCCATTCTGGATCTGAGAAGAGGTCAGTCAATGCTCTATGATTGCTACAACTCACTCGTATTCACTTGCATCCACTTTTATAGTTTCTTGTATTAACTGAGGTATATTATTTTGTGGAAACAGACAAAAAGGTTGGTTAATTTAATTTTGAGCTAATATGATTTTGGTGCTATTGAGATTTACAACAGCACATTTGAACCTCAAAATTTTCTCAGAATTATTGTTTACAAACTTTTGGTGGGTTTGTTATTTCTGTGGAGGAGTTTGGAATGGTTTATTGCTGCTTTCTTTGAAGTTCCTTGTTCAATGCCATCTGCCTAGAATTTCTTGTTAAAATTTGGTTGACGCCATTGATTTAAAGGGTTCAGTTGTCAAGATTTTTTTGGCCTAATAGTGATGATAGAATTTGAAAGAATGGTGTTTGATACTGTTTCTTTTATGTATTTGTGTTTGTCATAGGGATGAGTTTGAGTTAGTTCATTTAAGGTGCTTGTGAAGGGGTTGGGGGTCAAGAAGATGGAGACATAGTTGTGGGTTTGTCTCGGTAGAGTCTTCTGAGATAATGCTTTCTATTCAGAAGTGGAAATGTTCATGGTCTCAGATAGCAACGATTGCTTCTATTGTGGCATTGGCCTCGATAATATTGGGTTCGATAGTTCATCTGTTCTGGTTTCCGTTGGTTCCTTCTTTCAATTACTTCAGTCAAGCTCAGAACTCTTGTGTCCCAATTAATGGATCAGCTGAAGCAGTTGTTGATAATGTTAAGGGAAATTTTAAACCACCTATTGACCTAGATCGACAGTTTCCATCTGACTTGCACAAGGCAGTTGTTTTCCGCAGTGCACCATGGAAGGCTGAGATTGGCCGGTGGCTTTCTGGTTGTGATCCAATTTCCGATGAAGTCAACATCGTTGAGGTAATAAGAACAATTCTATACATACATAACATTTCATTCTACATGAGTGAAGATTTCAGTGAGAAATGCCAAGGGAGTTGAATCATGTTCACAAGAACTAAAATATAACTAGAAACGT